TTAATAATATTTTTTTTTCTTTTCTGGGTTACTTTTACTGTACTTTGGCTTGAGTCATTAATTCTTTGAAGTGATCATACTTTTACTTGAGTGTGAGTTTAGGCTATTCTATCCACTTCTGCTCTTCACTTACCCCTCTGTCCTTTACAACCTCTGTACTGGCTTTCTCTTTCTTGCTTCCCCCCTCACAACCTTTAGCGCAAGCACTGATGATTATCAAATAATTACAATACATTACACTAAGCTTGTTTTATCACATTATACAAAAATTCTGATGTTTGCAGTTGTCTGTAGGATGTCCAGAAAAAGCCGTTGAGGCAAATGAAAAAGAGTGAATAGAAAGCAAATATTCTAGAGTCTCCCAACAATCAAACACATATATGGCACATCAACCACCAAAGTTTCTATTTGTTTGTATTTGTTGGTGTTTGTAGTTCCAGTCTGAAAAATGTTGAACTTCTTTTACACTGTATGACTCTGAATCCTACCCATTTTTTCACTGTTCACTGGCAAATTTGATATTTTGTGTTCATAATTGCTGCATCCCCTGCATATTATACTGCAAGTAGCTTGTATTTACCATGGCAAGGGTACTTTCCACCACTGTCACCACTGAGATTTTTGCATTTATTTCAAAGAGAGTGTGCAGACTGACTCCTTAGTTTCTAAAGTGAGGATGAAGGCAAACACAAACTATGTTGTGGCATATTTAAGGTTCAGGTATGTGTCAGAACAGATATGAAAACCCCCTCTCATTCACTTTGCTAACAGAGGCTCCTATCCCACACCCACAGAAACACTCAAAACACTAAAGGCTTAGCGTTGTATGAACCCCAATGTAAAAAGGTGTACACAATGAACACGCTAAGGGAAAAAAACGAATGTTTCACGATGATAAATTCTGGTGAATTCCAAACATAAAAGTGTTCTGTGTGACGGCTTCTTGTACTGTTCACACGAGATTTTCAATCCTTTCATCCCACACACGCTCACTTTCTGCTTACGTACATTAAGGCCCCCAAATGTCTCTTCAAAAAAAACACTAGATATTTGATTTTCTTTGTCATGCTGGCTTCCCACGAGCCCCGGGCATGCCCAAATGTGCCGATTTAGTTCAAATACACAATGACCGGAAGTGCATGTTATTCAAAATCTCAAGCTTAAAATCAAAGCAATGGTAGGTTTTTAAGAAAGTGTTGCATTCTTCGCTGCCACACAGCCCATGCAGTGCAGCACACTGACAAAGATTTTGACTACAGCGGTCTGACTTTAATTTTCAGGTTTTGCTCGATCACAGATAATATGGCGGCGTTCGTGGCACACATCCAAAAGCAAAAGATTTTCGTTAGCTGGAGGGTCAGAGGTTGCTAATGAGTGGAAACAGCTAGAGATGACATTTATCTTGACCATGATTGCTCCTAAAGTATGGTACACAAAAAGTTGCCCCGTTCAGAACTGTCTATGCTACATCAGATTTCTTGTTCTGGCTATAAAACCAATAGCGATAGTCAGGCAGTGCCAACAATGAAGCATATAGAAAATGCGTTGTGATGTAAACAAGCATCACTCACACACTTCCACAAACATACTGCATCATTCGTACATACATGTACATCACTTTTCATATATACAAAACACAGCAGTTCCTACCTCGCATCATCTTCACAGTAGTGAAGTCTCTCCCTGGCGAAGCTTTTTACTAAAATTCAGAATATCTCTCACTGTCTGTTTCACTATCTGTCTCCTTGATGATACTGTTTAAGTGTGGGAGATCAGACAGAGATTAGGTGGTTTACTGTCGATGTGTGTGCGTATGAGTGCGGGTGTGCATTTGAGAGTGACACAGCGGGAGAGGGCCTGTCCCTTTCACACAAACCAACTGTACTGAGTCTGTCTGTCTCTCTCTCTCTCTCTCTCTCTTTCTGTCTCTTGCTCTCTCTCTCTCTCTCTCTCTTTCTGTCTCTTGCTCTCTCTCTCTCTCTCTCTCTCTCTCTCTCTCTCTCTCTCTCTCTCTCTCTCTCTCTCATTTTTACTCACTTTGCTTTTCTGCACTACTTCAGTAGTCATTTTTCCTTTTCTGTCTTACTCTCATATTTCCTCTATCAATATAACAAAGACACTACAAGCACTACTCAAACATCACAGTGAGAGTCAATCAAACGTGTTTAGAAATGTGGCTGGCAGATTGCATTCATCAGACCTTATATCTCTTCTACCATGGCCTATCACTTTCTTCATCATCCCTCGCTTTCACATCATGTAACAGACTGCATGTGATATGCTCGTTCAGCTCTTCACCAGAGGTGGGTAGTACCTAGTTACATCTCCTCAATTTGCTAAGTAAATTCGGATGGATTCGTACTTCTCTGAGTACGGAAATATTAATACTTTTACTCAAACATATTTGTGAGAAAAGAAATCGTTTAACTTTTTCCACTTTAGTCATTCAGAGTACGTTGTTAATTGTGTTTGATTTTTTATCCTGTTAGGTGGTAAAAGCATCTGTACTACTTTGCTGTTGTTCACACCTCTCATGTTTTTTTAGTTTTAGTATTCCATTTTAGACCAAAAAGATCCTAAAAAGAGAAGGAGTGCCAAAAAAAACATCAGTTCCCACGCTGTGCTGATAGATACTAACACGTTGCAGTATCTGTTCTGTTAGTAACTCCATAATTAATAATTAAACAATTAATAATATTTTTTTTTCTTTTCTGGGTTACTTTTACTGTACTTTGGCTTGAGTCATTAATTCTTTGAAGTGATCATACTTTTACTTGAGTGTGAGTTTAGGCTATTCTATCCACTTCTGCTCTTCACTTACCCCTCTGTCCTTTACAACCTCTGTACTGGCTTTCTCTTTCTTGCTTCCCCCCTCACAACCTTTAGCGCAAGCACTGATGATTATCAAATAATTACAATACATTACACTAAGCTTGTTTTATCACATTATAGTGGAAAGAACCACAAGCCACTGAAAACAGACTGAGATGGAAGATATTAGCGGCTTCTTAAAATGTTTCTACACGTTAATGGTTACTGCTGTAGATTCTTTTTTGTGACAAGGTCAAGCAGTAGATGTAAGCTGGTTCCCTCTTTCATGGTGTCAACAAGTAATGGCTGAATAGGTGCGTTTAACATATGCCATGTTTGTAAAATAGAGACAGAGAAAGTGAAATGAGAGACACAACTGTGTGTGTGTGTGTGTGTGTGTGTGTGGCTTTCACAGTGCACAGGTGTAATAAAGACCTGTGCAAGTTCTGAACGGCAGCCTCACAAAAATACACTCAGATGTTATCTAGACTCAGGTGGTGCACACACACACCCCTAGAAAGAGAGAAATAGAGTGTGTGTGGTAAACAATACCATCTCTACACGCACTTAAAACACATAGCTCCAGTGCCAGAAGTAAAAATATATATGGAAGCAGGTGCAGATTGCAGTGGATGTTTGGCAGATGTAGTTGTGCGCTGCTACTTTGCTACAAGACCACCTCTGTAACCACGGTAGCACAGCTGCCCGACATGCACATATCACTCCTGCACAATCCATGGGCATATTTGCACATCTATGTTTCATACACACACACACACACACACACACACACTATAGAAAGGGTGTAACAATGTATCGTGACATCATGATATTGCAAAGCAAAAATGTGACAATGACCAATGTGGAGAGTAAACAAACTATAAATTATGCCATCTAATGCAATTGCAATGTTTAAACACTAAATTTCTCGAAAAAAACATCAGTCCATGATCCACTTCAGCATGTTCACGTGACGTGCCACACTCGTTCTACCTTGCGGTTCAAGTCTCATTAGCAGTTGTGTAACATGGATACAGTCATCAATTTTCTTCATTCAAATTTTGGTCAAAATGTCATAACAATATCTAATCGTAATCTCAGCAACATTAATCATATCTAATCATGTACTGACTGTATCCCTACCCCACTGCTCAATACCACAGCTAGTGGTATTTAAAGGAGCCCATTGAGTCCTTTAAACTAGCTAAACCCTACAGAAACAGCTCTGCAGCAGCAAATGCTACATTTCTCTTTAATGCTAATCCAGGCGAATTTAGTCCCAGTTTCTACAATTTATAAAAGTTTATATATCGGCATCAGTAGATGATGTATATGAAAAGTATTGGATATCATTATCGGCTCACAATTTCCATATCGGAACACACTTTGTCATTCCCTTTCAAAGACTACACCCTGGAATAAACATCACAGTGTCTTAGTCAGTCCCTTAGAAATGCTTGTTCCATTAGTCTGTTCCATTAGTCTATTATGTGGGCCTGGACTGTAATATTACATTGTCATAACTACAAAACTTACATATTAGTTTCATAGAAGTTACCAAATAATTTGTAGTAGTTACTAAATAATAATAAGGAATACTCCAGCGTTTTTTGACCTAAAATCCATCTGCTTTATCTGTAGTATACATTCAATTACCATGGACAGTAATTTCAGAATGTTTTCCTGTACTTGGTAAAAAAACAAAACAAACAAAACAAAACAAACAAACAAAAAAACAGAAAACCTGCTAGCTAGAAACAAAGTTATACTAGATGTCACTGGGCATATGTTGAAGTCACAAACTATAAGTACGTTTTCAGTGAAGCAGTTAACTGTTCTTTTGCTGAGTACAGGGAAATATGTTCTATTCTAAAACTATTCTGTCTGGTAATCGACCATAAGAAACAGGTGTGTACCAGCATCACAGTTTCCACGACTGGGTGAAGCACAAAAGCCGCAGTCTATCGGCACCAATAGCAAGGCCGCTGTGAAACCAGGACAGTATGATACCATGGATTTGACTGGAGTGGCACTTAGATTCAGAAAAGACGGAAAGCAAATTTGAGCACATTCATGTGCTTCTATTTCAGGTTCAGTGTGACAAAGAGGCACACTTTTAAATACACATTAGTAATGGTATTTGTAGGTACATTAGTAGATAGAAATAAAATATCAGAGACTATACTCACTCAAATGTGTCTTTTTGGGTAGTGGGTTTCCTAAACAGGGAGAAATAAGTGAAATAAGAATTAGATACATCTTAAATATCTGAAGACACACACACAGTGAACAGTGCTCAAGACAAGTAAACAGACAAAAATGTAATTGGTGGTCACATCAGTGGAAGAGGATGTGAGCTGCATGTTTGTCCCAGTATGTTTGAAATATTTTACTTTTAAGTAAATACATAATTAAGTGTGATGTTACAAATTCTCCAGCATACTATTTTGTTGCAATCCAGTAAAAGTTTGCAATGTATATATTAAGTTTAAAAAATGCTTTCTGTCCCTGGGAAAATAGACTCAAGTTGGAAACAAAGACCAATACTTTGTCTTTTTCACACACATACACACATATTCTCAGCTCAGCAGTGATGGTAAAAAGCCACTGACTACCCCCCTCCCACACACACACAAACACTCACACACAGCAGCTCTGATCTCCACTGTCTGACGTTTGACCACACTTTGAGTAAGTTGAGATTTGGTGCTGGGTTGGCCGTTTCCGAAGTGTATTTTTAGATGTGTGTTTGCGTGTCTGAACATACAGCGCAGGTAAGATAACAATCACTGGGCAGTGGGCTGCATAACTCACTCTGTCTCTCTCTCTTTTTCTCTCTCGTTCACACCGTCTCACACAGTGTCTTTGAAGGGCTGTGTGGCTTTTTGAAAAAAGAAAGAAAGAAATCATTTTGCCTATGTAGCGGAATACGCACAAATAGGTTTGTGACAGCTTGCAGATGTATTCGGAAACAGACCCAGAAAACAGACTGTTTCACAATCATTTATTCTTTACATTCTCTTTGTTAAAGATTAAATCTCAAGTGCTTGTATCTGGCAGGCATGCATTTGCCTTTGCAAGAGGAAAGGCTGTCAGTTTTAAACAATGGACATAGTGTTTGCTTGTGTGTGTGTGTGTGTGTGTGGTGTGTGTGCGCGTGTCTGTCTGTGTGGGAGCAAGCGGGTTCATCTTTTGGCCATTGATTAAGGGCTTCCCTATACCTGGATTGCCAAGGTGACAAGGTCCAGCGGAAACAGATCTAAATGCTGCTTGGATTACATAACCCTTAGTATTTACTTGGGGGAGAGAGAGAGAAAGAGAGTGAGAGAGAGAGAGAGAGTGAGAGAGAGAGAGAGAGAGTGAGAGAGAGAGAGAGAGAAAACACTGCACAGTGCAGTACAGGGCTTTCTGAGACCAAGGTAAACAATGAACAGTAAGCAGATTGTCACTGCACAGTCAGAGAGTGTAAGAAGTGCTCCACACTTTTAACATATAGTGTTTGTATCCTTTAATGTTGAAGGAATCTTTACATCTTATATGTTTCCTAAAGCCAAATACTTAAATAGTAATACTTATATACTTAAACACATACACATATGTTTTTATGTATATATTAACTTAAATGCAACGGAATTTCTGGTTTTAAAAAATGAACTGATATCAGTTGTATCTACCATATGGTAAATGCATTACATGTACTAGTGAATTTTGTACTACAGAATTTTGATATTTTGATAGGACTTTGAATGTTGGTATACACAGCATGGTATTGATCCATTATGAATATTACTCCATAAATACATTTTTTAACAGCATAATCAGTAAGGGATCATTTTTCTTGGGGTAAAAAATGCCCATATACTCCCAGATGTACACACACATCACATACACAAAGTCTGAGAGGGGTGGTTGTCCTCTGCTGTTACATAACCCAGCCTGCGAGGACCCATGTAGCCATAGGAGGTGTCCACACAGAATGCCTGTCTACTGTAAAACTAACCTTTCTGGCTCACATTTGAAAATTCCCTTACGGTTTTAATGTTTTGATGTACAGTAGCTTGTCTGACAAACATCAAGTTAAGGCACTTATTCTGACTAACTATGATGATCATAAGGAAGCATGTGTTAAAAGTACATTTCTGCTTAAATATATTATAAAAAGCTTATAATGTCAATGTGGATGTTGTAAAGAATACTTTCATCCAAAGTACTTTTTCACAAGATGTAAAAATGTTCTTAATTTTTAATGTATGTCAGTGTAATGAGGTTTAAATCCAAATCATTTTGGACCTTTTCTGTTGGCCCTATTCATCATGAAATACAATGTAAAGGACAGCTGGTGTTTTTAAAGGATGCAAAGAATAAATAAATAAATAAAAAACAAAAAAACATTCCATGCACATCATTTCATTCACGGCAATTAGTTTAGAATAAACTGCCATTCTGCCCACTGCATTGTGTGTAAATGTGTATGTGTGTGTAACGAGGTAATACGTGCAGTAGGGTAATGGAGGTAAGTTTGCAAATCTGAAATTAGCCAATCGGCTCCTGGAAATAGATGAGGAGTCCAAACAGACTCACTGACCGCTAATCCTAATCCAGATTATCTCCACTCTTACAACACACAGCAGTATTTTTACAAAGAGAGAGAGTCAGTAGTCAGCCTGTGTAGGAGTTATGAAATCGAGAGAACAAGAACAAAAAGAATACAGAAGCAAAACCACATGGAAACAAAAAGAAAAAAACGTAAAGAAAATTTAATCAACAGGCATCAAAGAAATGTAAAAGCCTGTGAAGGGAAGATAATATGAGGGTATAGCACATCATTGAGGAAAACAACATAAGTTTCACTCTGGAAGACAGCAAAGAAGTCATTATCCCTATGAATCACTGAAAAGTGCCCTCTTCACCCTGCAGTGTTTTCTGGGAAGTTACCTCTACAGGGGAAACAGGTGCTTGCACTCTTCTATTTTGCTTGAAGCCTGAAACTAAGACATTCCACTGCACTTCCATTAGGGAACTTGATGACTTTTTGGACCTGATACTTTTACTCATGCTCAAGCTGGTAGCTGCTTTTATTTTGACTGGAGTGTTTCTTTGAAGTCACAGCACTTCTACCTATGGATGGCTCCTCTTTCTACCTCTGCACATTAGCTAACAGTCTTCAGACCTGGTCATTTATAGGGGGGCTGAGCAGAGCTAGCACAGCTAGAGACCCTCAGCCCCTGTCCTCTGCCATTAACTGCACCAAGTGCCTTGACAGTGGCTGTCATTTAATTCAGAAAGCCTGGCCTTTTACTTTAGGCACATTCACAACTTGAAAATATTAACCTTATCCCTCTCTCTCCCATACGATATAAATATGATGCTATAGTATTTTTCATTACTCCTCACATCACTTTGTAGGGAACATGGAGTAACTTATGTATGGCCAACAAGTCATTCTGAAACCTAATGCTACAGAAAACCTGCTTCTATTTCCTGAGTTTAATTGCATTTGACACCTTATGGTATTTAGTATTTTAGAAGGTTATGGCATGACCATAAAGGTTAGTGGTAACTAGCGATACATAAGCAGTCGGGCAAGTGTGGGTTTGCGTGCAGGTTTGGTTTGAAATGTATTTAGAGTCATAAAATGACGGCATGGGTTAACATATGGTCTAACTAAAAATGTTTGAAAAATGAACAAGTCCTACATTTTGCAGGCAGGAAATCAAATATTTGATTTTGTGATGTAAATGTTTGCACTGTAAGATAGTTAAGCAATTCTAAAAGACTTTTTTACGGTATTGTGCAGTTATTTTTCTTATTTTTAATAAGGTCAGGTGAATGGGGGTCATGCTGTGGAATGGGTGTTGATCTGTGCGTCATAATGTTTACAATGTATACTTCTGCATGAAGAGAGTGTGTATTGGCACTGAGGGTCACTGAGAGAACAAAAGAGACAGGATTGCATAAGAAAGCAACAGTGCAAAAGATAAAAGAAGAAAGGTAAGAGTGCATGATTAGTAGAAGACTCATGGGGAAAGAGCGAGACAGATAGGGAGGAAGGGAAAGTGACAAGACACTGCTTGAAAATAGTACAGATTTGAAAATATTCAAAATCTCACCCAGGAAATACCCTTACATACAAGATGTGCTGTCAACATTTCACCTGTGTCCCATTCAGAAAGGTGAACGTGAATAACGTGTACCAAATCTGTACAGATGTGGGCTGCTAGTTGCATTTACTGAAGCACAGTTTTGATGTATTTGTTCTTAAGTATTTTCAGTCATTTTATTTCTACTCAATAATATTTGTGAGGAAAAGAGTCTACTTTTCACTTGATAACATTTTAGTTATTGAAATGTAGTTATTCATTCCTTTTTGTGTTTATTTCATCATGCTCCATTTGTGACAGCATCTCACTTTGGAGTGTTAGCATTGCAGACCAAAAGGATCTCAAAAGATTAAGAACAGCTCCCAACAAACTTCACTTTCTATGCTGATGCTAGATGTACTAAGAAGTTCCGCTGCAGCTCTACCAGTGTTTAAGAGGTTTTTGATCTGCTACTTTTGTAGTTCACAAGGTGTTTTTCAGAAGCATACTTTTACTTGAGTCATAAGTAGACATAACAATACTACTTAAATATGAGTTTAGACCACTCTATATGATCATGAAATATATTCTTACAGTTACAGCAGAGTTTTCAACCTAATGAGGGAACTAATTCTAATTTAGGTCACAGGATCACTGGCTCACATGACCATATTTATGTAATCTGGTTAGCCTAAAGGCTGTTAAGGCCTGTGGGTCTTTTTAAAAACTTTCAAGCACCATTCATTTTACTCATTTGCTTACTATGATTATTGATATTTCAACTTGCCCTCACATGACACATGCCATACTGCAGAATGATTTTAGAAAGTCTCTTATAGTTTCGGGGTCAAGCAACTTGGTAAGTTCTTAATCATTTCAGATACAGTTACTCAAATCATAAACATATCAAAGGAAGTCACAGTTCCTATATGCACGTGGCATGAGCACTGAGGTCTGCTATTAATGAGCAAACTTCCAATTTTCCTGGAATGAGGTCCTTGCATTGGCCACCCTCTCCAGCAAAGAATTACTAATAAACTGCATGTATGCCAGAGTAATTTATTAAATTAAAGCTCAATTGTTAATTTAATAAATATCCCAGAAAGAAAAGGGCTTCTCTTAGAATAAGGTCTCTCTAAAGGTGCTCTGGTTGACTTTTCCTGCAGTTATCAGTGTACTACTCTTACCACTCTCTCCCTCCTCATCCAGTAGTATCACTTTCCTGTTCTTTTCTTTCTTCAGCTATGTGAGACAGGCAACCCTCTGTATACCTACAGTGCTCCTGAGAATGCCTTAGTGATCTTAAAACTTAAAGAGGGACTGATGGGTCAATACTGCTAATTGTGTGTATGAGATTTTCATTAAGCCTATAAAGTTTTAACCCTTTACACCATAAGGACTCATATGTAGGCCCACATTTCAGTTCCCCACAGCTATGACTACTGAAGTTACAAATTAGCATTATAGTAGTCACCAAATAATTTACAGTAGTGACCAAATAATCTTATACTAAATAACTGAAAAGTAAGCCAAGGGTTTAATGAGTTTTCTGTTCTCACACACAACATGGGCACCTTAAACCAGTACATGGAGCACGATTTGGCACAAACTGCAGGTGTTCTTGTGGCATCTACGTCCTCCAGTATGGAGTCCAGAGAAATATAGCACTTGTGTTGACCAGAGGTGGGTAGTAACTAGTTGTATTGCAACTAGTTACATGTACTTAAAGTATGCATATCCCACATTTCTCTTGTCTTTTTCTTTTTTGTTTGTCTGGGTTAATGTATCGAGGACAGTCATAACTCTGATTCAAACTTCAAAGTAATTGTCCAACCTATTCTTTAAAATTAATCAGACTTTTTTGTTGCTATGCCTTTAAAACTGATATATAAGTGACCTCTGTTCCTCCTAATAACTTAGACATGAATGGATGTAGCTAAACTGTTGTAGATATGTGAAAATTCTTTGGTTTTTATAAGATCACAAAAATGATTAATTTGCAGCTTAGTTTCCATGTATGGATTGTGTGCACTGATGAGATGATTGTTTACATGATTATCAAAGTGTTTTATTTCAAAAGGGTGAGGACAATTTACGTTTCAATTATATAGGCCATTAATTAAAGTTTGGAAATATTTGTACCTCCGAGTCTTTTCAAATGATAACACTTTTACTTGTACCCACTTGTGAGGAAAGGAAAGAAGTGTATGTTTCACTCATCTATTCACATCAAGTAATTCATTTTGTTTTTGTGTTAGATTTCATTTTGTTCTGTTGGTTCAGCTCATGTATTGTTTTGCTGTTGCTCACACCTCTTATTTGTGAGTTTTAGCAATTCTTTTAGACCAAAAGTATCCCAGAAAGAGAAGAATATGCCTAACGAACTTTATTTCCTATGCTGATAGATGCTGGATGTACTTATCCACTAAAGGAGCTGACTCTTCAGTACTACAATAGAGTATATTTCATCTGTCAATTCATTCTTTTTCTGTTTTTTTTTGCTAAGCTATTTTTACTTCAGCTTGAGTCAGTGTTTCACTGAGGTAACAATGCTTGTGCTTGAAAATGGGTTTAAGCTACCCTATCTAACTCTGGAGTTGACTGTGCTGCAGAACTGCACCAGAAAAGTGGAAAAGTGGGCTGTCATCGTGTGAACTCAACGACATGTGAGCTTCCAAAGCTTGGTGCTTCAGTAGATGCAGTGATGAGGATTTAACTGTGTGTGTGTGAGAGAGAGAGAGAGAGAGAGAGAGAGAGAAAGAGAGGGATCTCGTGCTCCAGAGGATATTTATAGTGTGTCACTGTGCCAGCCCTCATAGCTGCAACTAAGTGTGTGTTAGAGAGAGAGAGAGAGAGAGAGAGAGAGAGAGAGAGAGGTGAATGTAAGGCTTGCTGAGGAAAATGACACATTATACAAATATGCAGGCTATAATAAGAGCATGTAACTTGTCCACAGTCACATTGATTCCTACCTCGTGCACTCTCCGTGTGGCTGATCTGCTCCGGAGACTCGGGGTCTTCATTTTCCATAACTTTTTAGTCAACACCCTGTAGCAACACCCGCACCTCACAGCACGTCCAGCCGTCCACTCCTGGTGGCTATTTAACTTCAAACTCGATTACTAAGAGACCTACAGTAATAAATAAAGTACGACGAAGAGGAATGAGGGCTTAACTAGCGCCCAGGTCGCCGTAATCGTTTTAACAAGCACATCGCCATTCTGATGAGATTCCCGTATGTTGATAAATAAATAGTGAATAATAACAAAGGCTGGGCTCCTCGGTTCCTGTAGAAAGCAGCGGAGTGTGCAGGCCGTTAGAGCGCGGCGATCACCCGCTGTGGAGAGAGTCCCGCGCTGGAGGGTTAGCGGAGCTCCGTTATGTCACCGCCGTTATGTAATCAGCCCGGAGTGCTTTACAGTAACGGAGCTGGAGGAGCTTTACGGCGCACTGAGGGAATAAACACTCTAACACTCAGAGCTGCTCATAAATAATCAGCATTTTATTATGATTCTCCGCTTTCACAAAGCAGGATTCATCCGTCCAGCCAGATAACTTGAGCCCAAAGTCAAGCCTGTCCAAGAGCTGAGGGACATTCGTATTGGACAGTCCTCATCTTTGGGCTTAAGTTATCCGGCTAACTGAGAACATGGAACATGAATGGGTCTATGCACCTGTGTTTGTTGGTTTGAATAAAAAAGGAAGCTGTTACAGTCTGTCTGTTATCACAACAGAGGTACTCCTGACTAATCAATACTTTGATAGGATCTCTGCTTTACAAAGCTTATCAGATGCTTGTTTGTTTGTTTGTTGTGGGAAAACATGGTTACCCAGGGGAGGTGTAACATGGTAGGTTAGTGTGTATGTTAATTAATATAAATAAACAAATGCGGGGGTATAAATATGGATCAGTAGGTGAGAAGGACAATACTTTTTGAAAATGGTTCTACATACAAGCTCCACATCGTAACAATAGAACCATCCTTTTGGGTGCTATATAGAACCCTTTTCAAAAAGGTTCTGTGTAGAACCATATACAACACAGTCTTCATCAATCTGAAGAACCATTTCACCATGCAAGGAACCATTTAAATATGAAATGGTTCTATATAGAACTTATGGTTCTAAAAGGAACCATTGCCTTTACTAAGAATGCTTGAAGAACCATTTTTAAAATTGTGTATGATATTATGTAAACGATGAGCAGGTGTGCCTCATTTTAGTGAACCTGTAGATGTAGTGTAGTAAAAAAAGTACATGATTTTATTCAAGTAAAAGATTGGTATAAAAGATGGGTGTAAAGGGGAATATTTATTTAATCTCCTTTAAAAATGTCATAGAATCCACTTGCTTTTAGGGGAAAAATAAGTTTCTCAAAGTTTTTGAAGTGATTATGTAATACAGTTATGTTTGTTAATCCTTTTTGTTATTATAAACACACTGCTTATATAAAGTCACTATCAAGTGTAAAAAAAAAAATAGTGAAATATAGGCTAATGGGCACAAATTCTAACAGAAAGCAGCATGTAAAGTTTGTGAATAAAGCTTAAGTTGGTTTGTCAGAGTCTATTCCAAGCCCAGAGTCTATGAATATGGAGGTCATCTAGACTGGAGATTCCTTTTTAAAATGTTTAGGGTTTGATACAATAGAGGATGGATACAAACAGAGGTAGCAAAGCAGGGTTATTATGCTGTCAGTATGAAATGCAGCCATGTGCTTTGAGTGAAAAGAGGAATCTTAGTACCAAATATATAAAATTGTAGGATCAGTAAAATCAGCTGGATTGGAGGAGTGAAGAAGGGAAGCCAGTTAGATCAGTACTTTCAGCTTTGCTTTCAACACCGGAAACTTTGTGTAAGATTTGGTGTCTCAAAGTTGACTACTAAAATCAATCTGTATCTATAGAAGGATGGAGTGAAAAAGAAAGAATAGCAAGAACGAACAGTATGAAAATTCAAGTAATAGACGAGCTTCAATAGAAAGATGAAAGGATAGAAGAAAGAATTAACTTGAAGCTTCATTTGGGAGCAGTTTGCTCTACTATAAAACAACATAAATAACATATTTTGTATAAGTGCAGTGTTTTCTCCTGTTCTGTCCTACATGTGAGAGACTCTACCAAAGAACAGAACGAGCATTAACACATCAGAGTCCTTTAGCTAAATGTAGTATGATGAGGGAAGATGCTTCATTGTTTGTTCTGATTCATCTAAAGTGACAATTGATGAGTGTAGTTTTCAGACATTATAAAGCAGATGAGCACTGAACAGAATCCATTTAAATGTTTGATTACATTTAATTTTCTTAATTTTAATCACAGTCAGTTTGGGATTATTTTTGTTTGTTTCGTTAAAAATCAGTATGTGACTACAAAAGACTATATTTCATTTGAATAATTAAGTAATTAACTTTATAGCCGCGTGGTTGAGTGGATTTATATATTATTTGTTAATTCAGGCATCATTTATAAAGTTCAGGCATCATTTATAAAGACATACATTTTAAGGTATAGATATTAATGGGTTAATATTTATACGATCTATCGCGTCTAAGATAAAACGCTCGAGTCGGCATGTTTTACTGTGGAAGAAAGGGGGAGAGAGAGAGAGAGAGAGAGAGAGAGAGAGAGAGAGAGAGAGAGAGAGAGAGAGAGAGAGAGAGGAGAGAGAGAGAGAGAGAGGTTTTAACGTTCGTACCGCGGGTGGAAAAAAAAGCCCCACCGCGGATATTCGCTTTAGTCCCACACAAGCCATCAGCTAAAGCCGCCTGGACCAGAGCTGAGCTCGGCTACTCCTCAGACACCAACACACAACCTGCTGCCCTACATAGAGAGAGAGAGAGAGAGAGAGAGAGAGAGAGAGAGAGAGAGAAAGAGAGAGATGGAGATAGAGATGTGGGGCCCGCTGGGACAGAGAGATAGGGATCTAAAAATAATTTCTGATGAAATCCGCAAATACTTTAAAACTCTACAGAAAAGGTTTCATTAAAAAGGTGACATAAAATCCTGAAACGGCGTCTGCGCTAAAGCGCTGCTTCGTAAGAGCTTAATGAGCAGCGTTTCTGATTGACAGGTGAAAAACACTGATCAGCTCTGTGTGAAGGTGAAGGGTCAGTGAATATACAGCAGGTCTAACAGTCCTATGGAAAAAAAGATTACTGTAAAATTAAATATGTTACAGCCAAAACAACTGAAAATGACCTTTAGTCGAGTTGGTTCGTTCATGTAGGAGCGTGAGAGGTTAATATTCCTGGAATGAATTAAAGGACGCTGCTGAAAAACTCATAGAACCCTGTTCTGTTGGTTCCTGATTGTTTTGTTATGTGTTTTGGCTTTTTTGATGGGTTGATATCACAATATATCACAGAAGTTCCTAAAGATTTAACAGGTGACCAATGGCTGTTTCTAAATGTATCTGATGGTTTCCTAATGGGATCTAAAGATGTTCTACAGGAAGCTAATGAAAACCATTCGGCCAATTTCCACTAGAAAGTATTTTCTAATTCTTAATTCTAATGGTAATTTTTCTGCAGGGGATAAGAGGATATAACCACATAATGGATCTAAAGGCTAATTTGTTGGACTGTAATGTGTCAGTTAGTGTTACTGTAGTCAGTTTACGCCTTTAATTGCGTAATGTATGGCCGCTGAATATCAAGCGCTGTGACTGGAGCGCGCTGGAGACGCATGGAGCGCTGGTTATTGGGCTCGTCAAGTCTTTCTCTCGGGACTGATGGTCACAATCACGCACAAAATACCAGATACAAACATTTCTCGCTATTTTAGGTTTATCTACAGTAGGTCAGTCTCCATTACACCCACGGGCAGTGTTGTGTAGAATGAGGCGTAAAGGGGATCCTTGATTTGTCAACTCTTCTGCACAATGCAGTCTTTGAGACCAAATAACCAAAGTCATTCAGAGTGGTTTGATGTGAAAGTGCATTACAGAGAAACTTCCAGATCTGGACTTTCTTTACAGTGGTTGTCATTGTAACCAGGGTTCATGGTGTCTGGATAGAAAAATGACCACTGAACCTACGTTGTCCGAGTAACGTTAATAATGGTAAAATAGTGGTAAAGTAAAGGTTTTCTTTTTGGTACCATTTGCCTTACCATGTTTTGCCTTAACCTCTAGCTTCAACTCTGTCTTTAAGGACCTGACCTGAGAATTGGTTGATGAAGGGGTAACTCTATCCTCCTGTTAGTCTGCACCACACACTAGGAACTTATCTAAAGTTGGGAAGGCCACTTGTATAGTCTTTCAAGAAAAATCTGTTCACCTTTTTGTATTATCCGTTCATCCGTTCAAAACCATGTATGTAGTCCTACAGATCAGATCTACAAAACACTGAAAAAAAAACTAAAAAAATACTGGCTTCATAAAACCACATTGTTATTTAATGTCTTTTCCATGTTTTCTGTCTGTGTGCAGTCTTGGTAATGTGTTCTAATCCTTCTCAAAGCTGCTGAGACGTAAGGAACGGAAAGAGCCCAGTGAGAACGGACAAAGGCCATACCACGCTGTAGCATGCACTATAGGTGTCATATTGAATCACTGTATCATCACTGAGGTGCTAACTTCAAAGACTCCCAATATGAATGCGTCCTCTTCAGATGTGGACAGTGTGTCATTCATTACCGTAACTCTGTGGTGTTATTTAGGCCTTTTTACTGGAATAATAGTGAAAAGGGGAGGAGGCTATAGCAAGGTATAGATGAGATGCAAGGTTGGAAGCTCTCTGTGGTGGAATACGGAAGATAACATTACAATTGTGTATGTGCGTGTAATCTCGGGTTTGCTTTGTGAACGAAAATTGAACCATCTCCAATCCAGAAATGAAAGGTTACCTCTATTCAAGTCACAGTTATGAGCCTCAGTCTTGCAGACAAGCGACTGTAATCTTCACTCTCACTAGTGATTTCCTCAAAGGGGTAAGCAGCATGATATAAATGTCACTATATTTTATTAATATGTCACATTTTCACAAAACACAGTACATTTCACCATATTTAGCTGGCCTGAATGAACTGGTTAAGCAACAGAAACAGCGCACCTGTAAAGCAATAGCCTATCACAATTTAAAAAAAAAAAAGATCAATGAATAACAAGTTCAGAAACTAGGTGAGGTTAGATGTGAGCTCATGAGGAGTTTATTGAAAAAAGTGACACACAAACAGTCCAAAAAACATGAGAACACAGAACAAGAACACAAAAGACCCAACAAGAGATACACCAGGAACCAGCAACTATGGACAAAAGACACCCAGAACTGCAGAGTCAACACTTCGCAAAGCAGACAGAATGGTCAGGTTTGTTCAGCTGTGTTTTGCTGGTAAATTGCGATGGACAGGTGACCAGTGTTCCGGACTCAGGTGTAACAGCAAGGGGTCTGACAATGGAAACCAGTCATTTTCTATTCACCATGTACAAAAATGAACTATTTAACAAAGGAAAGGAAACTTAAATAAGATGGTGGAAAAATGGTATAACATTCAGTCAACTACAAGTGTTACTATTCAGTGATATTACAGTGCAACAATACTGATTGTTATTAACAACCTCTCTGTAACTGGCCGTTACCTGGTGTTGTAGAACCAGTAACGTCAAGTGGAGCGCTCAGAAAAGTGCAACATGCCATGTTATTCCATCACCCAGGCTTACTTCCACTTACTAGGTCCAGACCATATTTGGAAACTCAGAACACTGAGTCAGCACTACTGTTCCATACGAAACAAAGCTTTGCTGGACTTCTATACTGGCAGTATAAAAAACACGGATAACATTTCTTAAAAGAAGTCTCAGCAAGGCTTCATGATTCCAGTCCTATACTGTATTTTATTTGTACCTACTCCTTACAGCAGGCACGTCAAACTGGGGACCGTCTGGGCCAAAGTGCTGCGGAGATTAGCGTTTACTCTTATCTAACCCTCTGAATTCAGTTCATAAAGGCCTTGCTAATTAGCTGATGAGCTGAATCAGGTCTGTTTAATGAGGCAGTGTGCTGAAGTCTGCAGTGCTTTGGCCCACGAGGACTGGAACTTGACACATATGCCTTACAGCATGTTTTGCTGTAAGGATAGTTGTGTAGACTAAGTGAAGTACACTTTTCAAAAATAATGGCTTTACAGAAAAAACTTTGAGGCATTCACAAAACAAATTTACACAGATATAAGACTGCATATTTATATAAAAATAATTCCATTATACATGAATAACTGCACAGAATCATCAAAAGGATATTACTTGTAAAGTATTATTTTAATAACTTTAATGGTAGTTAATGTATGATATGTCAAGCACCATCTCAAAGCTTATCCCAAGTAAAAGTCTAACACACAGTTCATGAGTAAGTAGTAACGGTGGTAAAATGTCAATAAATACACAGTTAAAGAAATATATAAAATAAATATTTGCTCTCTGGCATGTTAAGGTAACTAAATATCAGACACATCAGAGGAAGTCTCATGTGGCTCTGACAGCTGGCAGAGGTCAAACATTTGTACCACTAGCTGGTCATTTCATACACGCACACACACCTACCCAATCCACGCACACACAAATATGGTGGCTTCTGGCCTGCTTTAAACCTTATGTCCCAAATAAATGGCCCATATTAATTGACACAAATAACGCTGTGGGGAGGGAGGGAGGGAGGGAGGGAGGGAGGGAGGGAGGGAGGGTGAGAGAGAGGGTGGGTGAGAGAGAGAGAGAGAGAGAGAGAAAGAAAATGTTTACTATATGTATTTATGTATTTTAAGCATTGTGCAATATACAGTTTTCTGTAAGTGGCGGGTGTTTAAATGCGTTTATAAATGAATTTTTGTAATTTACAAACTTCATAATTCTACAGTTAAAGGCTTCTATGCACAGTTAATTATTCCTGCCCTTTAGGTGACAGAGGTGATTTAAAAACATTTAACATTAATCTTTTCTACACTTTTTTATATTCCATGTTGTTGGGTTTGCTATGACCAGCTATTTTTTGCCATTTTATTTATACTTGTTCAAAAAAAAACAAAGGCAGTGTACAAGGTATGCATGCAACAGATGAATTTATACTATATTAATTCATTTAAATTAATTTCCCAGTAGTTAAATTTACTTAAATGGGAAAACTGAAAAGCTATTACCACAAAACAACCAAACATGTGCATGGAAGTGCACAGAAATAACCAAAAATAAAAGATATAATTATGTCCTTTTGCCTATTTCATCTTTGGTCTTTTCATCTTTACTACTTGAGTAGTTCATCACTTCATCCCCAATATCTGGGCATTAAAACACATGCCTGCACACAAGGGCAAAACATCCTAACTCCTCCTTGTCGTTGATCAAAATTGCAAGAGAAAAACAAAGAGCCGAGAGGTACAGTAATGTGGAAAAGTTCAAAAGCGAGATTCTTTCTTTTTCACACTGCAGTACGTCTAGGTTTTTTCGCTCCTGTACTGCAGGCATGCCCTCACTGAGACATGTAGACTTTTATGGCATTTAGTTTTTCCCCTCTAACATGGGTAAACTATTCGTACTGATTTAAACAACAGGAACAGTCACTTCTAATACACAATACTAATATATGCTCATTAACTTGGAAACTGTCATTTTTAATGGAATATAGTCCATGTGATTAACATAGTAATGCACATATGAACTGCTATAAACTATGAATATGTCCTTTGTGGCCCCCACTGTGCTTTTGTGTTTGTGTGCGTCTTTATTGCTCTACCTGTTGCATCTGTGTGTAGTCTAGTCTCATCAGTGCTGGTCACCCTACAGGTTAAGAAGGTTTTTCTGCCCTCCACACGATCCAGAGCACTGTGAATAAGGACTACACTACCCAGCGGTATCGGGCTATATGAGAACAAAGTACAAGAGAGAGAACATCTGTAAGAAAGACTGTTGGTATTAAACTGCTTACAGGTTAGGTAGACAGTGTGGCTTTGAGGTCAAAGTGTAAAACTGAACATTTTCAATGGACTTTTGTGTTACAAGGTAATACACATTATATGGTAAACTACATTTCTGTGCAGTTCTGTAAAGGTTACATGTTTTAAATAAGCTCTTAGTTTTTATTTTCTAACACAAGTGGTAAAATATGACAACATTTTATTCTGAAACGAATACTGGGAAAACTACATGACAAACAATGCTGGAACACTGTGCTGGTGGCCACCTCTGAATTTCTGAGTTAAGAACGTTGTACCTGCGATAATTGATGTTGAGGTTGGCAGTCATTATGGGCCCAGACAGGCAACCAGCAAGACCACCCGTCACAGTATCAATCATGGTAGCTATTGCTCCTCCGTGCACATGCCTGTGGCACAGGAAAGCAGGCTTACATCACTTCCCATGTTACATGCAAGGGGATTCCCCCTTTTCTCACAAAAAGGACCACAGATATATTTGTCAATCAGTAGTATACATTGCTTATAATGCTTATACTCAAGACCGGTAACTGTCTCTGCCAAACCACAATGTACTGTGACATTCAGATATTTGAGTATGTGTTTCTGTGAGATGGTGTTTGCTCACCCAGGTGGTCCCTCCAGTAGATGTCCAGATTGAAACACACATACACATCTCTTCTCCTGCTTGTTCACAAAAATGGCATACTCAAACGCTGCTCCGTGCTCCTTTATGCTCCTCGTGAACAGTCGAGCTTTGGACTGGATCATTTTACTAAGATATGCTCCTCCTGATGGATGGAAAAAGGGTAATTTTCAGTACTTTTACCATAAACTATGTATTTTCATATCCTCATATTTGTCTATGCATCTAATGGCAATGCCAGAGCACGAGTTATCTTGTTTCTCTCAGGTTGGATGGTACTGGCGACATGATGGAGGCATCTGTCTATCTAGACATAATATGTAGCACTGAACAAGTCAACAGTACTGTCACTAAATTATACATCTATGCTTATCTATAATCTGCTCTTTGAGGGTAAATTCAGAGCTCATCTGAAGTGGCTGTGCTGTTAAATTTGCAGCACATTAAAGTCAACCTGAAATCAAAATTGCCCCTTTTTTTTCCACCATGTAATGACTTTTGCGCAACTCTAAAACATCTTCTGGTTTTTGGCTGTCACAATATACTAGCTGGCATCGGACAATCATATTAACCAATAACATCATCTGTCACCTGCTCCTCCACCAATCCTACCTTCAGTAATATCATGTTTCACTCAGAGTTACGTCACGGTACGGAAGGAAGGATTTACGATTCAGGCCAGCTTTAATGGAAGGGTGTTTTTAGAGTTGGGACATCGTCCACTTATGAGGTTTCGGCCTAGTGCCTTGACCAGAGCCCAAACATCGTTCCTAGGTCAAGATGGACTGTGCAATGGATTATTACTATGTCTACTAATTAAGCTTAGATGTATCTTAATTTCTTAAAGACTTTTCTTAATGCATTCCTCGAGTAAACTGAGGCAGCGGGAAAGTGCCTCTCAACAAAGAGAGCAAATGAACGAGTCTGGCTTCAAACTTTAGTGCACTGGACCTGGGTCAGGAAAATCAGCCACAAGGAGAGAACGGACCATGTAAATCACCTCTGGCGTATTTTAGAGTACGGTTGTAGCTGGGCAGCTTCCGCCAAGGTCCCCTCTTCTTCTCGCCCCCTACAGTCTCCACCTCACACAGCGCAACATAATGATCATAAACTCTCCGCATCTCTGGGCTCCATGACGCATTGGGCTGGCTGAAGTCCCGCGGCTGGGCACCGAAGGGCCACAGCGACATCTTGTGGATAGAGAGAGGCAAGTCAGACGCTGGAGAATGACGAATCACTACATTTCATCAGCCGGTTTACAGGAGGCAATTACACATTAGTATTCATTATAAATTCACAGTCTTTAACACTATGATGTTATTATACATCCATCCACAAAAATCAGAAAATGTGTGCAGACATATAGTCAGCTTAGGGGATTCAGAGTATTTGAGTCAGAAGGCAGGACACTCGCACAGAAGCAGTTAACGCTATAATAGCCAACTAAGTTGAACCTTACCGAAAGCGGGCGAATGTTCTGGAACGCTGAGGGCGAATTCCACTGTGTCTGAAGCCCAAGAACGCCGGGCACGTTCGGATACGAGAACGCACGGATGATGCTGGTGAGCCCTTTGGCTACCGGCTGCATCATGATGAAGGAATGTCCGCACTAACACCTACTAATAAAACACAGTCCCGCAGTCTGAGTCCAAGAAACTACTGCTAAAATCATCTCAACATGATGATGAAACGGACAGCGTTCTCAGCGCCCACGTTAGCTAACTAACGTTAGCAGGCTAATACTAAAGACTCGGCTGCTAACACACGTGATAGCTTTCTTCTGTGAGTGACTATTAAGTTCTCACTGTAGTTTTATTTAACCTAGATGTGGCACTGTAGTGTAAGAAATGTTCCTTTTTTACAAGTTTTCCTTTTTTAGACACTGGCTAAGCTACATAAACATAGCTAATATCATATGACTTTCAGCGCCGGACTAAATGACATCGAGGTGTCTCTGGTAACTGTTACCAGAGACTGTGTGGAGAGGAGAACTGCCACTCAGTAATGTCTGTTGGGTTTGTCAGACACGGGAGGGCGCTCCCGAGCGAGGCCAAAATAAATGGGTTACTACGGAGCATTTGAGCAAAATCATAGTTTATAAATAATGAAACTTTTTTTTTCATATAGAAGAATGCATTTCATGAACACAGTATAAAATATTTTAACACCGCTGTTATATTTTAATGCTTTTGAACTCCAGTTCAAAATGTATGAAGCTTTATAATAGCGCCTCATGAACGTTCATGACGTCAGTGAGTGCGAACTGCTTAACTCAACCAGAGCGCTGCTCCACGCGCCAACCAATCAGCACTCAGGAGCAGTAATACCAGCCAACCAGCACTTAGTGGCAGTAATGCTAACCAATCAGCACTCCGTAGCAGTAATGCTAGAGTCCTACTGCTTAAAACACGTTTGCTGTAGAAAAGGGAAACATACAGGTAGGTTTTCTTTGCTTTTTTAGTAAAATACATCCTTCTACTTTACACAGTTAAATGAAGGTCCTGGACAAGTGAGTAGAAACTATTTTAACTTTCATTTTTAGTCGTTTAGCTCCGTTCACCCCCATTCATTGAGGACTCGCTCGAGGGCGCCCTCTGGCGTTTTGCAGTCATTTTTTTATTTAAAGGTAGGAATAGGAAGTGGTCATGCTCCTCTGCTACTACTTCCAGCAGCATGAAAGCTCTGCTCTCTTTCAACATACTAAACCCTCCATACTTCACCTTGCTAGGTTAACTCCACTAGGGAACCATGCGAGTCTCTCGTTTTTAATATTAAACTGATTATAACAGGCGAATGAGTCTTTATGATTTTACAGCTGAGGTTGTCGAAAACTAGTATCAACCCACGTCTGCAAATGCACTTTGAATCGAGCAGGGAAGTGATTAGCCAACCCGTTGGACGTGTCGAAGCCATGTTTTTTTATATTTTGTGATTCCCTGAATAAAAGTACACCGAGAATGCCCGTGTTAAAATGAGCGGAGATGTGAACTGATGCTATTTAAACAGCAGTTACGCAGAACGGCGCTGTCTGCACACGTTACCGAAATCACGGGTCACATGACCTGATCAGCCTGTTGCCTTAACAACCGGATGGCTTCCCTAGCTAACGTTACTACTTACAGCCAACGGTTAACTTACATGGTGTTATACCAGAAAGTCTACTTGTTTTTGTTAATTTGTTTGTTTATTCATTTTTATATGTAGTTCAAAGGATCGAATATATCGCCTGTCTTCTAAAAAAGCTCGTTTAATACTTACAGGAAATGTTTGGTCAGACTGATCGGCGTTTTAGGAGCACTCTTGTGCAGAGAGAGAGGGACAGAACAAAGGTAATAAAACAGAGATAAACAAGCTTCGCCTTTATTTGCTCATGCCGCTTACTCGTGTATCTTTGGCTCTTAGAAATCTTTCTAAATATGCCGCCCTGTTACCTTTCTGTGTCGCAGAAAGAGGAAGAAATAGCTGACAGACTTGCTGAGCTGGAAAGGTGTGTTCTGCTTGTTTTGTGTCAACATTTTTGGAGAGACCGTGCTCTGCTGTGGCTTTGGCTTCATGGCCACAGAGCAAAACTGGTTACATTATATGTGAGATTCCTCAGTGTCATTTAAGGATTTGTTGTTTGTAATATATGGTAACATCTTTACTGGGGTTGTTGAGATTGCAGGAAATTAGCGCTATAACGTGGTTTTCAGGAATGTTTTTCTAGTGATGTGGCATTCCCTGCTGCAAGGGCTGATACTTTACAATGGAAAAAAGGGAAAAGGCCTAAACAAATAGTTCAGCAATAATAATAATAATAATAATAATAATAATAATAATAACAATAATGATAATAATAATCATGATAATATTGTAAAAGACATGTCAGTCAAGATATTACATAGAATTTGTCTGGTGAAACATATTTGGGAAAGTTTAAAATTTAGATATAGATGAGCATAAATTCATTTGTTTTACCACTGTATTTACACCTTGGTTAGATGTGCAAGACTCTATTGGGAAAAAAAAGCTTGCAAGTGGCTTGTAAGAATTGCTTTATTTGATGTATTGTTTTATTTTAGACCTGATGAGCTGGAGGCAGGAAAACTGTACACTATACAACTCAATGTAATAGAAAGTTAGGAATTAGGAAAGATTAGAGGAGTTTCATATTCATAAAACAAAAGTAAACACCCTCCAAACCTCATACACTTTTAGCAACATTTCAAACAATATGTCAATCTTACACAGTTTTTGAATGTAATGTAATGTTTTGTCTGTTAAAAAGGCTACCAGCTTCAGTTTCAAGCTCAAAGGTCTTTTATCTATCCTTGCAATTCTTCTGTATGATTAAACAAAGCCTGAAGTGCTGAATGCCTTAAAAACCTTTAGTGACTAAGTCAGCTAACCCTTTTAACTAACCTGCAGCTGATCTGTGTTCAGCACCAATAATGCTGTGCAGAAGGCAGAATTTGAAGGAGCCATCCAAGCTGGGTCTGTTCAAGCCAGGACCCTGATGCACCAGGAGCACGTCCAACAGAGAGAGACTCGTCTGGCTCACACTGCACTCATTCTGGTGGGTAACATAACTCTTATAGAGGAGTTTTATCATTGGAAACCTCTGAGTTTTGTTCTATTTAATGTTTGATTGATTAGATTAGATTCAACTTTGTCATTGTGTGGAGTACAGGTACAGAGTCAATGAAATGCAGTTAGCATCTAACCAGAAGTGCAAAATACAGTATTATTTACATATAAAGTGCAGAAGGACGGTAAAGTGGTAAAAAATACAGATATGCAAGTATCAATATAATATACATATGTACAGAGTGAGTGGAGAGAATGCAAATGTAGGTTGTATGTACTGTGATGTGTAAAAAAATATGCATTAATGCAAATGTTACTGAAGCTGAAACAGATCAGATCCTCTCCATCTCTCATCAGAGAATAGGTAATGAGTTAACCTGACCTCGGTGTGTTTCTCATGTTTCATCAGGTGCGTAGAGAGGCACTGCGCAGAGTACTGGAGCTGGAGAGACAGCTGTATAGCAGTGAGTTGAGCCAGAGGGGCTTGACCATATATCAGCAGAGGATATAAATAACACCTATTGCAGTCTCTATAACATCTACCTTTTTTGTTCCTCTGCCCTTACTACACCACTGTCATTGTCCTGCACACGCACATGAAGTAGGGTCTGTGTCCATATGGGGTTTTCAGAAATCCAGTTCACGTTCTGTCATGTCATACTGATAATTTTTTGGACAAATTGTCCTTTCTTTCTTTATTGTTATGTACAGTGAACGTTACATTTACAAACCTATTCCATGGTGTTTTCTCTTGCCAGACAAAATGGAGACGTAATGATCAGTTAGGTTTTAGCCTTCTTAGGCAATTACTCATTTTAGTTTCAGAAATTGTGGTACGATAGTAATATCGACAGTATTCATAAAGTACATGTACATAAAAATAAAAGAATATGTTCATTTAATGACAAAAAAGAGGAGTTTGAAGAAAATTGGGTAAAAAATGACAAAATGACATAACTCTTTGCCCTGCACAGTTTGGTAGCAGACCCGGATGATCAGCTACTCATGTCCTAATGAGTATTCTTTATACCTTAAATAAAGATTCTGATACTCCATCTACCATCAGTACTTGTATCACCACTGACGTCTCAAAAGCATTTGATAAATAGTTTTTTTGCCATGTCACCATGATGCTCTGTCGCCATGAAGTCTCTCCTGCAGCTGGGTGTCAGACCTGTCCTAATGCTACAGTTATGTAGCTTTGTTTTGGGTTGTAGGCAGAGAGTTTGACATCAGGTTTGCTGCTCTGATTTGCAAAAGCTCATGGGCCTCTCATCTTCCCTGTCCTCATGAACGATGTGGATCCATGGGTGCCAAGGACCCAAAGTAACATCTCCTCAGTTGGTTCTAGATAACCTAGACAGATGGTGTCTGAACAGTCAAATGGCTTTAAATCCAAACAAATACAATTCTATGACTGTGACTTGTATGAGAACTCCACCTCCTTCTATGCCTCTTTATGTCTTAACAGGAACCATTCTGTTGCAACATCAACAGTGGCAACTTCAGACAGGACTTCAATGCACACCTGTTACATCTGACACAAGCCCTGTTGAACCAGAGTGGGAGTGTCCACTAATAATCCATAATCCATCCAAATCCTCATTGGCATGGGGTGTTCTACTTATCAACAGCCTTGACTCTTTGCCTCCCCTTGAATAGTTTCTAAACTCTCCTTTCAGAGAATGTCAGCCACCTTTAGGGCCTACACATCCAGCTGGTAAAACCAGAATAGCAGCTCCCAAAAATGAGAACTGGTAGATATCAAAAGTGAGTCTGCCCATTTCTAACAAGAATTTTAAATGTGGATTTATAGAGTGTTCAGTATGTTTTAAGATTTGCATTTGTTTGTGTTTAGGTAAGATTTATTTAAATGTATTTGTTTGTAACTGTGTAAATGTACAAGCAGACTTTGTAAACACTACTCAGTTTATGTGGTAAAACTACTATGTGAGTGTGAAATAGAAATCCATTCTAAGTCAGTCAAAAAGTACGTAAATAAAACAGAACAAAATAATAATCACAATAAATAATGTAAAAAGTAATAATCAGTAAATAATGTCAAAAGTCATTACATCTTGGTGGAATATTACAGGAAAACAAGAATTTGGGAAATGGGGTTTCAAAGGTGACAAGTCAGGAAGAACACCAAGATTATGATTTAAAGGGATCGACAAGATCTCCATTTATATTAATGTGCAGATCTTAATAACTAATGACAAACGTTTAAAGGCCGATCAGTAGCAATTATGCCAACATCTGAGAAAACTGGTGTTCATTATCTTATGTAACAGACAGCAGCTGTTAAAAGAGACTTTCATCTCTTTTTTGGTGGTTTGGTGTGAAGTGCTCTAGAGGAACTTACAAAGTCAGAACTGTTCACAGTGGTGGTGATAGGAACCAGACGTCTAAAGAATTTAATGCTTTTAAAAGCTCCCTCACAGACAGTTATTACACAAAATGATTATGAATATGCTGCATGATGTGTTATAATTATTGTGGGATAAGATTTTGCCCTAAAGCATACTTTTTAAAATCTGGAGAGGTACTAACAGGGTACAATAAAATAGTCCCAAAAAAAACTTATTTTTTCAGATTTTTTTACTATAATAGTAGATGAAAAGGAAGATGAAAGGAGTGAAAAATAATTTGACCTGGAAGAACTGGAAGATCCAGAGTGTAAGGCAGCACCTGAATCGTTCATTAGCAAAGCCAGAACTACACTGTTGCCCTAGAAAAGTCATCTGAGAGTGAGTAGTAGACCTTTATCACCGTGCTGAAGTTCTGTTGTTCCCAAGTTTGACGAACAAATATGAATATACGGATGCATGCTACATGAGTATGCTGTGAAAATACGGACATGCTGTAATTATTTGTTCTTTCATCCTCCTTTTTTTCAGACTTTCGTGACTCTTCTTCCACCCCTCCTTTTCTTACTCTGTCACAGAAACCCACACTCTTTTGTTTAGAGTACTCCATTTACAGCAGTGTCCACTGAAGGCTTTTTCATCTGCAGGATAGAGGCTTACAACATCCTGCTGAGTGTGTTTCTCTGTTTAAAGAGAAGACCAGGAGCTAGTCTACATCAAACAATGGAAAAAATGTTCAAATAGAACTGAAAACTTTTGTTAAACAATGAATGAATGAAGTTTGATCACAGTGGGCAAAGGAAAAAAAAGGAAAACATTTCCGTAGGTTTATTTGTTATGAGTAAATGCTTTAGTTTTAGCTCTGTTGTAACAGATATTGAATTGAATCGAGACAACGCCCCTAATCAGCACTGCAAAAAGAATATGAAATTTTAAATGGAAAACACTGAGCCACAGGAATGTTGACATTGTGCTGTCTTCAGCAAGTCCAAATGCAAATGTTTATAATCCTTCAAACGTAAAATTTGCAGCTCCTCCCTTTTTACAATATTTGCTGTGACAAAATACATATTGTCTTCCAAAAAATGGTAACTTTACAGGAGAAAGCAAAAACCTCTCCAACATGAATGGCTTTTAAAACATTGGTTTTAGGCCAAAACCTTCTCAAAACTTTTGTTAAACAATGTCTCGGGTTTCAGATCGCATATTCTTAACCATTTCATGTAAGAACTTTCTGTGAGGAGCTTTTAGAGGCAATAAACACTTCATACGTCTGGTTTTTATCACACCACTCTGAACAATTCTGACTCTGTAGAATTTCTCTGAATGACTTTCTTTATATGTTAACCAAATAGGTAAGTAGAAATGTTTAGAAATTGGTGGACTTTAATATAAAGTAAATTAATAAAAAAATAAATAATTTTGAAACATTTGTATTGGTCCATTCTGTATGAAATTTCCACACAATTTAAAGGACGGCTGATGTGTTTATTAATTAAAAATGTAGGTATGTTTGTTTCCTTTTGGACAGTGATGATATTTAAAGGTTGGTGTGCAATTTTCTATTATGAAGTAGGTGTAAACTAGAGAAGGGGGTGCAGTGCTTAGAGGGCCTGCAGAGGCTAGCAATTATACCTACTACTTTCTCTTCATCGTCCTTGTCCACAGCCTCAATATCCAAGCTTCAGTTTCCCCTGGACAATATCATCACTGCCATAATAGCACAGGTAATATACAAAAATTATAATGACAGCAAATATCAGTATTAATCTCCTTGTTGCACTTTCTTTTAAAGGAAGTGAAACAATAGACAACAGATAAGGGCACATATTCTACAAACCCACTGTATGTGTAGATTAGAGGTGTGAAGGCACACATTATCAGCATTACATATTTAAATGTAGAACACGAACTATAATCTGCAGCAGTCGCAGAAAAGCAGAAACTATCAAATTAGACTTTGGAAATCCCCAGACTGACTGCAGTGCATACCAAAAATGGTATCATAAAAATTTTATAAGAGCTCATTATGAATTACCGACAGCATGCTCAAAACAACGATCAGTGACGTTATCTAAAGCACTATATGATATCAGTAACATATTTCAAACATGTTTTATTGAGGTATACCATGGTATAATATGAAGCACTAGTTTCCTTATAACGTCACAATATCAAAGGTTATATTTACCATCAGTGTTTTATGGTTTATTGTCTTCATCTTCAGACATTCCTGCCATCTAATGCTGTTTTTCTTTTGAAAGCATTTAAAAGTAGTTTAAAACGTCTAAAACTGACTACAGTTTTTCCAACTAAATAGGTTGCATTTTTGATTTTGATTGATTTCTTGTATTTGAACTATATGATTACTCATTATTAAAAGTATAATTTCACTTATTTCCTCATGAACCAATTCTAATACATTAAGCAACAGAAAAAGCAAATTACAATAGATTATTCCATATATAAACACTACACTGTAAGTACTTTAAGTACTGCACTGTAAATGTTTTAATTATGTTTGACAAGGTAGACCCAGAACACTAGTAATAAATAAAAAAGGCTCAATTATTTAATTTCAGATATAACAGAGCATATCTTTTACGCTTTTAAAAGCAGCACACTGCAGACCTCATGACAGTCTGTCAGCATTTTACCTTTTTCTTTTTTATTTAATTTTGACTACAGAGAAAACATACCCAGCAGCAGCAGTACTTTAGGTAAAGTTCACCAGCAGTAATATTGAATGTTTACAAATATCAAGCAGTGCTGTGACTAACTACACAGCTACACTTGAAGTGTGGCAAAATGTGTTTGTATAAGTGCAGATGGTCACTAGGTCCGGAAACTGACATCTGACAACATGCACAAGCACACAATCTGACATAAGTATGTGGTACAATAGAACACAATATGGCCTGAAGAGAAGTGTCAACCCTTTTTCTGTAAAAGCTTTTGTGGCATTCAAGCGCAAAGCTGGAAGAACGAGAGCCTGATGAGCCACATAAGCAAATCAGGTGGCGACTGTCATAGAAACCTGCCAAAATGTAAAAGCATATTGCATTCAACTTTAAAATCTTTCCAAAAATGAAGTGGCAAGTGGTATAAAACATGAGTGTAAAAACTGCTTCAGTCACAAACGCTTGCCAGTGTCATAAACCCACACCTTTTCTCTTTGTCTGTAGTCTCCTGTAACTCTTAACAGCATTTGAGATGTGGAGAGAGATTTGTTTGCAGATCATATCAACAGCAGGATACAGCATTTGCTAAAGCATTGCTGCTGTGTGCAGCTCTCTAGTTAAAGGGAAGACCTGATGCTTGCGTATGTTACACAAAGGAAAAAAAATTTAGTTTTAAACAAGCATTTTCTTAATTTTTCACACTGAATGGATTTTAAAATATATGTTTCAGGCCAAAACCTTCTCAAAACTATCATTACACAATGGCTTAATTGTCAGGCAGCATATTCATAACCAGTTTGTTTAATAATTTTCTGTTACAGCTTTTAGAGGCATTAAACTCTTCAGACATCTGGTTCCTATAAGCAGTACTATGAACAATTGTTGTTTCAATAAATACAGTATAAAGTCAGGGTTTCACATGAACATAACATAGGAAATTGTATTCCTGCCATGTTGATTCAATTCCAACACCCATCAGCCACACATGCTGTTGTTTTAATGTCAAAGTGATTCTGAAAATATAATGTATGTTTCTTCCATATTGTGATATATTTCCAAGTGAAACACAGCATTAGGGAGGATCCTGAGTGTATGTTTTTTGACTAAATGTTGGGTGCACTGTTTTTTTTGTTGGTACACAGTGATGTAATGAAAAAACAGAAGACATTTCAGAGGTGACAATAGTCATTACATTTTGATGGAGGTTTTTAATTTTGTCTTTTAAAGGGAAATGTAAAGTTTTTAACCCAATTTGTATGCCCAGTTAAGAAGACATTTTGTGTTCTTTTAACACAGCCAATATGTTTTTAACACAGGCAACGTGTTCAGATTTGCAACATAACTATGTAGTCTAATTACCCATTCTCATCATTGTCAGAGCAAAACCTCAAAAAAATTAACTTGACAGAAGAAGAAAAAACATTCTTAACTTTCAATGTAAGTTAAATGTTACAAGATTTTTTTCTGTGTCATTTCTGACCATTTCCATTTGTCTTCAATGTTAGGGGCAGGTGGTATTTTTAAATTATGCTTAAAAAAAAAGAAAGAAAAAAGCGAACAAAATGGAGATACAAGGTTTTGTTCTGACAGCGACAATATGCCATATTCCTGTAGCCTGGCACAAAAGTGTTCTGTAAATTAACAGTGTTTGAGAGTGTAGGATAGTATTACTTTTTTGCAATCTCTTCTTTCTTTTTTCAAATGCCCTCTGCGCCAGAGATGGATATCAAAAACATTTCTATATTCACGAGTGTTACTGGAGATCACAGTCATAAAATAACAACATTAAAAGACCAGAAAGCAAGTTTTCTTAATTAAACTACAGTTTATTTTCTGCATTACAAAATTAATTCCATTACTTTGGTTTTCTTATGAACAGCATTAGAACAACACATGGAGAGGAAAAGCTGTACATTAATACACTATTGAGAGGAAGAGTTTTTCCTGAGTTTCCGTTTTGTCTTCATTATACTTTACCGAGCAGCCTTTTTGCCCTCACACAATTTCCTGCACAAACACAACACAAGATTAATGGTATACTTTAACCACAAGCTATAAATCATAAATATTGTAATTCATACTTATAATATGCATGACAGAAGCTTGCTACTGTACATAAACAAGGTCTACTTTTGATTAAAGACAGTAACATATTCATTAACAGCACAGACTGCAAGAAAATGATTAAATGTTTTCTCCAGAACCATTAAACTCACTAAAATCTGAACATTGTTCCTCAAATAGTTCAAGTCGTTTACAGAAATACAGTTAACTGTCTGCCCATCGATTTTACTGCAACACATAAATCTATTAAAATGTGTCTCCTCAACTACTGCAGCACCGAACACAACTTCACCAATGAGAGTACAGTCCTCACCTTCCTTCCTCTTTGTCTGCATCCACAAACTCACAGATCTTGGCATCTCTGTCCAGAATTTGCTTTTGTAGGTTCTGAACCTCCACCTGAGTTTTCTCCTCCTCAGCCTTCTGGTCGACTAGAGACAGATATATATTAAAACATGGATGGTTGGGGATGGGGGGAGGGGCAGACAAACCAAGTTTAAAACATTTTGGCAGTTTAAGACCATTTTCCAGACTCAAGTTAAGCATAAATGCACACTAAAGAGAAGTTCCAGTGATGAATCACCATTGGCACTCTGATTTAGTCAAAAAACTTGGCTTAAGCCATGTCTGGGAAACCATCACTTAAAGGAATATTCAAAACTCATCTAACTTTTCAACCTAATCTGCCACATCCTTAGCATGTAGTCGATTACGATCCTCTGTACTTAACAAAAGAACAGAAAATCTGCTGACTCAGAACACAAACTAGACTTCCATGCACTTATTTTTATAAATTTTTTGACATATTGAATAAAATAAGAAACATAAATATTGAATAAAATATATAGTATATTATATATAATATATAAAATTCATATAAAAGTTGGTATGCTCACCTTTGATAAAATTAATGATATAATCTCAGCCAATAAAATGAAATGTAAAAAAATTACAATGGAATCACATTTGCTGCATAAATAATACAAATTAGAACAGGTAAAAGTCATATGACTGGTCAACTATTTTGAACTATGAAAACTATGAAACATGGCAGAAAGAAGCAGGTACTAAAAATTAAAATGCACCTTTATCTTATAAAAGAAAAAAAAACGAGATATTAGACAGTAAACAGATAAAAGGTGCCTGCTGCAAATTTCCAGAGCCATTATGCTCAGTGCTCTTACAGTGTAAAATACACACAAAAAACAGCAACAAGAAGCTGCTTAACACTAAACATTAGGGTTTGTACATAACATAGAATGTTTATTGTACAAAGCTGGTGGAAACACAGCCCTGTTCATATTATTATTTTTTTGCAACATTTCAATTATTTGCAAATCATTGGCCTCTGTGAAGACTGGCAATGTACGTTGGTGAAGGGAGTCACTGGTGACCCCCCTCATTCACATATCCTTTATCTTTTATGCAAATTCACATATTTTAGTCATCCTAATAATAAGCAATTCAGGCTCACCTAATCATGTATTAATATGAATGACAACAAGACAGAAAGTTATCTGAGTGACGTACTGGTGACTTTTACTTTAGATTTTAAAAGATTTAAGACTTGTACTGATGTTTTTTGTGACGCTTGTAGAGTGATTGTTCCTTGAGAAGGACGCTGTGACATGAGATAAGGACTGTTTATGTCCGTCTCCAATCTATCCCACTAGACAAAGCGGCGGTCTTTGGTACTGAGTATTTCCATTATTGTATAACTAGATGGAAACACTAGCCACAGTACAACTGACTGGGTCTTTTTTAAATTTTTATCTTTATGCTGTGGTAACCTACCCAACAGCTTTTGGTGTTTCCGCTGGTTATACAATGATGGAAACACCCGGTACCATAGACTGCAGCGATGCATAGTAGGACAGATTGGAGACAGGCATAAACAAGTCCTTATCTCATGTCACAGTGTCCTTCAAAAGGAACAATCACCCTCCAAACATCACAAAGAACATTAGCACTAGTCCTTAAATCTTGTAGGGTCTCAGAAAAGAAGTAATTGAAAATATGGATGATTTTAATCTTCTAGCCTGTATTTGACTACATGACACATAGAACAGGCATGTGTAGGCCATACTGAGGAGAGGTCTCCAGTACATCTCTCAGACAGCTTGTTGTCTTGTAGTCTGTCTTACTGAAAAAACATGATGAGGTTGATTATTAAAATTATTAAGATTATTAAGACGAGTAAAACATTCGAGTTTGCATAAAAGATAAAGGATACGTGGGGGGGGGTCAATCACTCCCTTCATTGGCTTCTATTATAAGTGTGTTTTGAGTCAACAGGTCTTCTGTTTTACTTCCCCAAGTGCAGAGAACAGGATACAGAGATTAAGTTTAAAAAACGCCGCAGTATTCCTCTAATGGTGATCTGGATCAATGAGGAATAAACTGATATCTTACTTTTTAGCTTCTCGAGTGCTTCAGTAGCTTCTGTTTTTTTCTTCTCAGAGTCAGTCTACAGAGAACAAAGAGAGATGAGGAGATTAAATGAATGCACCACCTAGCTATGATGCAGTCTATACCAGAGCATTTGTACATTTCTCAGAAAATGATGTAGCACCTCCAACACTGTGATGAAATAAACATCCACAGTAGTTGGTTCAGTTCTATTAGTCTAATGCTTTTCACAAAATATGTGTGAAGTGGCTTCACAGCTTCAATAAACCAGACCTGGCCCTGGCCTCTAAGAAACCAGACCAAAGGGTGATAGTGGTAAAAGGTTGAAGTGTTTGAGTGGAGAACCTTATAAAAAAAATTATAATTCAATGAAAATGGTACTTAAGGGGACCAGAAGTGGTTCTTCCATGGCATCACTCAAATAACCCTTTATTTATACAAGTGTAGTCAAATGGCATTTCTCCACGGGGCAGTGTGGTACGGTACACTGTTAGGGGTAGGTGGTATTTTTAAATTATGCTTAAAAAAGAAAAAAAAAAGAAAAACAACAATTCTGTTATCACACATTATGTTGTCATTTCTCACATTTGAAAAAGACCACATAAACATAATGGCCATAATGGCCAGATATCAGCTATAGTTGCTATTACCCATACCTTCTCATTCCAAATGTCCAGTATACTAGACATTTTATTCCCAGGTACTGTAGCTCCATAGAAGCGGGTATGTCCCCACACTCACCTGGGTTTCTACAGAACACAGTCTTTGTACTGGGTAATTATTTAATAGAATGTTTTCTTTGTTTATCTTGTCATAAACAAATACAGCAGCTGGTGAGACACTCACCGCCTTCAAGACCAAATCAAACACTGTTTCTGAATGATACTGTTTTTATTTCCTAAAGGTTTCTGTATGTATGTCCTCCTAGAAGGTCCCTCTTGCAAAAGAGGGGATGCACAAAATTGGAAGTTTAATGTCTAGTGATCATTATGCTTATGCCTATGATAAATATAATAGACTCTTGCATTACAAAATGCAATCAGATCAAATTTTTGTTTATTTTTTAAGAACAGTATCTTGTATTTATTTAGGAGTCACAGCAGATGATGTTCTATGAATTTGGGGATAATACTGTTTTTTTGTTATTTCAGTGGATTTCACTGACCAGTGTGCTGGACAATGGAATCAGGCACAAGAAATCTGCAAGATTTGGAAAAAGTAACACATTATTTATCATCAGGATAACAGACCCAAACAAAAAACTAAACATTTCCTGTGTTTCAGAAACATGATTTCTGTCTATGACACTGGCCTAGCATATAAAATGTTTGTAATATGTATAATATTTCATATATATCTATGTATCTTTTTTTTATCAGTGACCTTGATTGTGTCAACTATTTGTTCATTTTAGATTTTGTAATGTAAATCAGTGTGTATGTTGTATGTTAAAAAGCTCTTTGTTTATTACTAGGTTACAAAAATTATTAGGACAATTATTTAATATTTTAAAAACCGTTCATGCATCTAGGTAGTTCCAAAAGTTTCAAAATTTTTCACACAACTGTACATGCAGAATACCCAGACCAAGGTAAATGCTTGCTTTGTGTCTTGTTGTGTTTGTTATAATTAATATGTTAATTGCTCAAAAACTCATTACATGCGCCCAGTATAGTGGACATTATTATACCTTTCCTACTAAACAAAAAAATAATTAATGTATTATGTTATTTAGCATGCAGTAGAAAACATGTTTCATAACAAAACACTGTTTGCTTTTAAAGTGTCTAGTCCTGGGACTATACTGGATGTTTTTACAGGTCCTCTGTATTGGCCTTTTTTATGATACATGCAGTTGTTCAATGTTATAAGTACTGACCATAACATGGTTTATTACTATTGTGATAAATTATTATATTTCCCACCTCTATTCCTAACTCCACATACCTGAACCCTCCCTACATCCTAAAGTACAGATAAAAACAACACAGGCACTCTGTGCAGCAGGGGACGACTGTTATGGAGTCTTGTTTCTGCCACAGTATTTATTTCACATTGATACAATGTTGCCTTTCACAGGGCTTGAGGCTACGATTCATCCTAACTCTGAATAATGACTCAGGGCGGGTTTGAATGACTAAGATCTTCTGTACATACACTGTGTCGCAAACTCTGAAAGTGCTATTGTAAATGCTAAAGCAAACTCTGAAGAGGAACATTATGCTCTCATATTGCAGTCAGTGTCATTTCAGCATGCACGCAAATGAAGTGCTACCTACATGCAAATTGTATGCAACACCAAGAGAAAAGAGTAAATGTGTGTCCTTGTGCTTGTTTGTTAATGTCGTCAGGTCACTCTTTATAGCAGTTTTATAGCAGGCGTTGAGCTGTTAATAACTGACTGGAGTCTACTGCTTACTGCACCTTACAGGTCACGATGAAAGCAAATAATCTCAACATGCTCAATGTTACCAAAACCTAATCTGAATCCAGAAAATATGCTAATGCAGTTAATCCTGACAATTCGAAGCATAAACACTGACTTCCAGTCCCCTGGAAATAAAGCGTGTGCCAAATTACAACCTTTAGATTAAGTGTTTACTGCACAATTAATATAACAATGTAGTCAACACAGAAGAAAGTGAAGGGCTTTAATATTAAAATGAAAGTTTGCATGCCTTAAAATGCCCATATCCTACATTTTTCCTGTTTTTCAACTTTTCTGTGGTTTTATGTACCATAATTTACATATTTTATTTTCCAACCTCTCTTTATCCCTGTTTTTGTTACTCTGCCTTTAAGACTGATATATGTAAGTGAGCTCTGTGCTGACTAGCCCTGTATTGTGCTTCATTCAAAAAGCACTCTGAGCTGAAACACTCCTTATAACTTCAGTGTGAATGAGTGGGGCTAAACTGCTGTAGGCTGATAGGTGGACAGATGTAAATGAGTTAGTTCTTGTGACATCACAGAAACAATATTATTAAAAACAGGCTTGTCTTGCAGCATCTTTTCCATACATGGACTGCATTGACTAGGTAGTGAATGGTAAGTTTAGTTTACATATTATTTTAATGACTGTTCTTCAATACTGTTATTCTGGATTAAAGCACACTGCAAGAGAATCCTAAAGAGCACTATCATACATTCCCAAACTGTCCATGGTATCACTAAAATGAGTATCTCATAATTCTGGGTGTTTTTGGGGAACCCTAAAATAAAACAAAAATTAAAACAAGCATAATTAAAACAATGCTTATTTAATGGTCTCACCAACAGCACCATGCTAGGGCTGCCATTTTGATCACATCATGGGCAGCCCATTATTATTTTATTTATTTATTATTTATTATATTATATTGTGATGTCAGAGAACTCCTGGATTCCGCTTAGTAAAAAAAGGCAGGTAGGATGTTTAGAAAAGGTTTGTACATGTTAGATGTAGGTTCTGGGTTTATTCTGAAAGGTTGGCTCGATGTGTGAAGGGGGAACCGAGAGGGAGCTTCAGAGAAAGAGGCGTGAGCTGAGGGAGTGTGCTGCTTTGCCTCTGGAATTCTGCCGATTCAAGTTCCTACTAACGCTGCATTACGGGTTTGAATTCAAAGTTTTCTAAGCTTCTTCCGGGAATCCACACATTACAATATCTAGTTCAAAAAGCTTAAATAGCACAGCTAATCAACACCATAATGATGGTGCTCATATCACAGCACTGCAGCATACACCCACCAGCATACAAGTGTGCTGCACTGCCTTGCATATTACAGTGTAATGTGCTTCATATGTTCTTTATTATTCTTTAGATATTTACAGCAGCAAAAACATCTATATGTGCAAAAAAATGTTTGTCAAATTTTGCTCAAATTAGCCACATTTATACTTTGTGTTCAGCCTCTGATGTGTGCATCAGCTGATTATTTAGTACTGACATCACACCCTTGATAGATGTTGTGTGACACAGAATCATTTTGAAATTAATTTTAGGTTGTGTATTATAATGCCAATTGGAAAATAATAATAAAAAAAACCCTAAAGAAAATAACAGAAACTTCACTACCGGCCAGTAATCATGTATTTTAAAGTCCATGTAAAGCAGTAATAAATGTGTGCTCTGGGTTTGTCACACCACAGAAAAATGTATTATTAACCACACAGCCAAATTTCAGTGATTACAAAATTGGCAAGTACATAATTAGGTTTCAAAATCGTTAAAAACAAATAAGCAGTATTCTTTGCTCTAAAACGCTGGGGATGTGTCTGATGGCAAGAAAGAATGGGCTTTACGAAAAATCGCATCTATTGCACCCTGTGTTAAATAAAAATGTTTAGAACCCGATACGTTTTGTCTTGTGTACGATTTTCTTCTTTTTCACAAACAGTGGCGAGTACCTCTGGCTTAAGCGGCAGCAGGGTAAAACGAACTTCCACTCCGTATAATTACTGCAGAAGCATTGTCAAAATGTTATAGTATTGTACCACTCAAACACTAGGCTACGACTGCCATATTTTAGATTTCGTGCACTGTCATGACAAATAGTGAGAATAAGAAGTGGATGGAAACACTGAACTTTAAACAGGGCTAACATGCTGTGTGTGTGGTAGCCCTGTTCACTAGTGCTGTAGATTCCTCACATCAAGCAGTCTCTGTGTCATTGTACAACATGTCAGCGATTTCTGTTATATTTGTGTTTTAAAAATTAGAAGAACTTTTATATGTATTATGAATATGGTAAAATTTGTTCAGATGTAGCTAGCTAGAAGCCATTGCTAACTGTAGCTGTATCCCCAAATAAAAGGAGCTAGCTTTCATTAGCTGCTGGCACCAGTTGGCTAACATTTACAGTATGCCAGCGATTTCTCTAACACTGTAAAAGCAAACCTTTTATATGTAAAGTCTATTAGACAGACTTCATTTAAGCTCTTTTTAGCTTATAGTAGGCTAGCAGGCCATAGGTGCTAATTAGCTAGCCTATCATTAGCAGTTTAAGGAACACCAGCTTGAGTAGCAAACTTCGAAGCTAGCTGGTTAGCCAGCTATGTTAGCGACCTGCCAAACTGCATTGTTCTTTTAGTTTCATGACAATTTCTGAAGCAGTAACTTACTTCGGATAACATCCACCTTTCACTGCTCAATCAAAAACGCAACTCCTAGCTAGCTAACTTGTATCTTAGCATCGCGGGTATGCTGTGACATTTTGATTGCCATTTTTTGACATAGCTAGCTGGCTAGTTGTTTGTGATCTGGGAAAAGCCATGTAGTGCCTCTGACATACAGTGCCAGCTAACGTTAGCTGTTCATACCAAGCTGATCATGAAAGAATTATTTCGTTGACGGTTTATTGTCTGTAGCATTAGCTTCTTAAAGATCAGTAAAAATTTCGCTGGTGACGCAAAAGGCTGCTTTATGTTAGCCAGGTAATCCAGTCTGGGATAACAGCTACTGTTAGCAATGGCTTCTAGCTAGGGTAGCTAACTTAATATAAACATAATCTATCGAATTCATACTACAATTAACTTAAGTTCTTCTTTCTTTTTAAAACACATATTACGAAAATCGCTGGCATGTTGTACAAAGACAAAGACTGCTTGATGTGGCGCAGCTGCAGCAGACTGCGGTAAAAACAGGGCTATCACACACATACAGCATTTTAGCTCTGTTTAAAGTTTAATCAGTGCTTCCATCCACTTCTTATTCCCGCTGTTTGCCACGACAGTCCAGGAAAACTAAAGCATGGCCGTTGTAGCCCAGTGTTTGAGCATTATGGTACAATCTGAGAACGTGTAGAGGGAAGAATTACTACATTCTAATGTCTTCTGGGTTTCTCAGTTAGAGGGCACTCTTAAGCGATTCCAAAATGAAGGGGTTAAGACAGAGCATTTGAGCAAAATTAGAGTTTATAAATGGTCAAACATTTTTAAAATAAAAGAATATATTCATTTCCTGAACACAGAACTGCATAAAACATTTTAACACTTGTTATATTTATAAACACTTTTGAACTCGAGTTATAGGAGTTTAAAACGGCGCCCCATGTAGTTACGTTCATGATGTCAGTGAGTGTGAACAGCCAATGAGCTGCTCCGCTCACCAACCAATCAGCACTCAGTAGCAGCAATGCTAGCGTCCTGCTAAACAAAACACGTTTGCTGTAGGAAAAAGGACACATACAAGTAAGTTTTCTTAGCTTTAGTGAAAAACGTATTTCTACTTTCCAAAATTTACCCTCTTTGTGAAAAGAGTCCATGTTAGCATGTCCGTTAGCTCGCTAGGTTGGGCAGCAAAGCCTCTCTTGGATCGAAATGAAGCTGCTAGAAGCGCTTCAGCTGACACAAACACACAGAATTCACTCCGTCTAGCAGCTTTATTGGACTTCTACAGACTTAGGTTACATGAGCCACCAGAACCAGAGGACACTGACCTACCCGAGTATCAACCTCGTTCCTCTCAGTCTGCAGCATAAAGGTCACTTTTTCCCCATTTATGCAAGTTAGCAACATTTATTACTGTCTAGCATAACCTAGACAAATAAAGTCAGGGTGGGAGAACCACTGCTCCTAATGCACTCTAGTGTTTATACTGTTATAGTGTTAGAGGAGGGGTCATGCTAAGTGTGGCTCTAGTTTTTGTATTGTTATAGTGTTAGGGGAGGGGTCATGCTAAGTGTGGCTCTAGTTTTTGTATTGTTATAGTGTTAGAGCAGGGGTCATGCTAAGTGTGGCTCTAGTTTTTGTATTGTTATAGTGTTAGAGGAGGGGTCATGCTAAGTGTGGCTCTAGTTTTTGTATTGTTATAGTGTTAGAGGAGGGGTCATGCTAAGTGTGGCTCTAGTTTTTGTATTGTTATAGTGTTAGGGGAGGGGTCATGCTAAGTGTGGCTCTAGTTTTTGTATTGTTATAGTGTTAGGGGAGGGGTCATGCTAAGTGTGGCTCTAGTTTTTGTATTGTTATAGTGTTAGGGGAGGGGTCATGCCATGCATAGCTCCAGTACATTATCGTGCCATGATTTCAGGCACGCCAAAAAATGCTGAACACAAAATTGATGAAAAACGTTTAAAGGCCTTACTCCACAATTTAGAACTACGTTGTTCACGGTCTTTTCACGTGTTCAGCAGATATTTTCTAACATGTATAACATATTTAGAAACAAGTCTCTGAATTTACATGGACTTTAAGTTCTGTCTGAAAGGGGAATTCCACTGATTTTCCAGAATGTCTGCAGAAATGAATTTAGTTAATATGTACACAAAAAGTCATTACAAGAAGTTTGACATGAAATGCATCAGTCAAGAGAAACTTACAAAGACAGAATTGTTCACATTGGTGGTGAAAGGAACCAGACGTTTGAAGTATTTATCTCTAAAAGCTACCTCACAGAAAATTATTACACGAGATGGTGTCCAATGCACCGCCTGAGGCATTTTTACGATAGTGTTGAGAAAAGATTTTTATTTGATACACCATTTAACATCATTGACATTGTTTACATCTCAATGGTTGAATGGTGCAGAAATATTGAAAAATCAGGGCAATTCTGCCTAAAAATTTTGAAAAGGGAAATTCTCATCAAATTTCTCAAAATTTCTGCATAATTCAAAAACTAAGATGTAAACAAAGTGATAAGAAACAATATAGTCATTTTATTTACTGCCCAAAACCACCAGTAAACTTACATGTGTCTGAGGTTTGTATATATCATGTTTTTAATGGTAAAACAGAGAGTAAATTTGGAAAAAAAAATATTTTCTCTGGGGACTACTGCCTTACAATGCCCTGCATGTACCTCATCATTGTGAATGTGTTGTGTGTGTTTTAAAAGAATGTTTTAGGACAAAATCTTATCTCAAAACTTTTGTTAAACTGTTTTCGTAATCATTTCATGTTATACCTTTTAATTATACCGTGAAGGAGCTTCTAGAGGCATTAAACGCTTCAGAGATCTGGTTCCTATTATCATATTGTAAACACTGTGAACAATTCTAAGCAAATAACATTTTCTGTAACAAACCATTTCACATTAAAAACTTTGAATGTTAACTTTGTTTACATCTAAACCATTTACACCGAAACCAAATAGTTGTTTTAAGGTTACTTTTAACTCTAGAATTGACTAATGTTTACTTCTCACCTTGGCTCTTGAGCTTTAGAATTAAGCAAAGGGGTGGGCCATAGGGAAAAAATATTGTATCACGATACTTCAAGACATTTGGTATGTGGTATGTATCATGATATTCAGTTTTTCTGAGATTGAATAAAAGAACAGACAAAACAGAATCTGTCCTGCAACACATAACAAATACTATAATAATTATAATAATAATAAACCTTCAGGTATAACTATAATAACTTTTATTCAATGTTTTACAAATGTCACTGCACTAAATTCAAACAGTGTAATTATAATCACGTTGTAATGAAACTTGTAGTTGCTGGCGATATCCAAATATGCTCAGAAAAGCACAATGTGACATAATTTAATACTGCCCATCCATAATTCAGAACATTTACACAAATACGTTTTTTTACACCTACACTGAAGGCCCGTGACTGGGATCAGCTAGAACTGTATTATCAACAGGTTGCCATTTAGTACCTTTTCTTTCTGGCAGGTGTTCAAGCTCTTCTCAGATTCACCACTGGCCTTCTGCAGTTCCTCCTTCTTCTTCACCAGCTCATCCCTCTTTTTGTTCAGCGGTGTCAGCTCGTCATTCAGCTGCTGAATCTTCAGCTTGGCTTTCACTATTTCATCCTCCTTGGCCTTCACTTGTTCAGTGGTTGACGTTATTTGCGACCTCAGACGGCGGATGGTGAACTCTTGCTGAAAGGCCTGGTAGGCCACAGCAATCAGCACACACACGCACAAGAAGCCCACCACCATCATCGCCTTCATCTTGCACGAGAGAGAGAGGTGGGGGAGACAAACGAGAGGTCCACAAAAGAGATGACCGGAGGGGAGGAGAAAGTGTAAGTGAATAGAGTCCTTTTCCCCCGATCTCTACGTGTCTCAGGTTCTCTCCGTCAGTCACTGAGCTCTCATTGCAGCAGCTCGGTGTCAGCAACTACACTCCCCTCCCTTTCCTCCTCCTCCTCCCACCCTCCACAGAGAATCCTGCCTTACCTGTCAAACTCGACCCTAAGGTGTGACGGAAACATTGAGAAGAGCGTGTAAGTGTAAAAATGAAAACAGTGCCAAACGCCTTTAACTGCTTTTTTTAAACCAGCCTTATTCCCTGACACGCCCTTTCACCGCATATTCTCTACGTCTACCCACAATTCGGTTTTTAGCCACATACAGCACTACGAGTAAACATGAAAAGCAGGTTATGAGCTCAGATAAGAAGAAAAAAGGTGAATCGGTGAATAGCTGCAAGGGAGGTTTGGCAGGAAAAACCAGGATCAAGCCAACTGTTGATCCAGCGGTGCTATAGGCATTTAACACCGTCTATAGTGTTGAAATCCACAGGAGGTTTGGCTCTTGGCCTGAAATGCAAGTCACTCACCTGCTGCGTGGCACTTTATGAGCTTAAGAGCAGAAAGGAAGCAGTTTTTTCCGTCCAGCTTTCCGCAAAAGTTTGTTTTTTTCAGCGTAAGCACAAAAACATACTAATTAATCGTGATTACACGTCTAAAGTATGAGAAAACGACATATAATACCATTTCCTGTAATAGTTCACTTTCCTGGGGTTAAAACTGAAAGAGTGAAACACGTTTTTTCTTTTCCCACCCCTATTCCGACAAGCCCCGCCCTTCTGCGTTGGGATTGGCTATTAGTTCACACTCAGCAGCCATTCCTTGCATGTTTGCCGAACAGCATTATCCAATCGTTGTGCGAGGGGGGTGGGGCTTTGCGGAATAAAAGTGGGAAAAGAAACAACCCGTGAAGGGCGGAGACAGCAACAGGTACGGATAGTTTTAACCGTAACACTCACCTCCGCCTTACTTACTCTCCTTCTATTTCTTCGTTGGTGTGGACTTCGGACACGGACAGCTCTCAGGCGCTGAAATTAGCAACCCGGGGAGGAAGGAAACTTAACGCGGAAGAAGACGGTGTGGTTAGGCTGTTATTAACGGTCGTTCATAATTAATACAGTTTGAGAAAGAGAGAGAGTTCGAGGATGAACTGATAACAATGGTGAACAGACGAATCTAGTTAGTTCGTGAGAACTCGTTAAGTGACAGGATGCAGAAGTGCGCGAGACTGAGGCTGTAACTATAACAGACGGAAAGTACTTTGCATAGAGTCTCGCGCCTTGCTCAGACTGACTGACTGACCGACTGACTGAATCTAGCAGTTAACATGAGGAGCCAGGCTTTACTGTTGACTGTGTTGGTGGTGTGCAGCCTAGGCCTCGCAGGCTACATTCACCACAAGAAAAAGGAGGAGGTCAAATTAGCCAAACACGCCTCTTTCCAGAACGTCAAGCACCGGGTAACCAGCGACGTGCTGCGGGAGTACATGACCCATGTGGTGGAGTCGAACTCCCTGCTGGACAAGACCAAGAAACAGATTACCGACCTCACTGCTGAAGTGAAAGAAGCTCAAGAGGCCGCAGATGCGAAGCGAGGTGTAGTGGAGACTTGCACCGGTGACCTGGTAAGAGAGGAGTTGATTTTGTGTGATGATTTTCAAACTGGATCCTGAGAAGCGTTTCACAAAAGCAGAGTTTCTCATTAAGGCTAAAAGTGAGGATTGTCCAATAGAAACGTGCCTTACTCTTCTTCAGTTAGACAGACTTGTCTTTGGCTTTAGATGATCTCAGAATCAACATGCATGCCGAGTTTTTCTGGCTAACTGAGAAATCTTTTGTGAAACTCTTTCCCCCTGGAGTGCCTCTGTCTTTAACATTTTAGCTAACAACCCTTTCCTGAGTAGAACTAGATGTATAGTAGTGTAAATAGGGAAAATGATGAATGAGCTGGGCAGTGGTACTCCAGAGCCAGGAGTGAGAATCAGTGATGTACATTTAAGCTGTCTGACCATTTGAAGAGAAACTAAGAGACGTTTAATTAGATCTGTGTAAAGGAGCAGTGTACCAGTTGTAGGCTTAAAGTTGTAGACAGAGAGGTGTGGTATGTATCAACTGTGCATGGACACATTTGTTTAACCTTGAGCATCTGGCCTTTTTTCAGCAAGTTCTACTACATCTAACTCTGTGCTGTAATTTTCCTGTCAGAAACGTGTAACCGATGAAATCGCTGCCATAGACACCGAGAAGAACAATGCTGATGGTGAGTGACAGTCAAAGCCCACATTCAGCATCACTGTAGGAGTGCTGTTCCTTTTAATGACAAGGAACCATGAAAAAACTGTTCCAAGATCAAAGTGCAAGCTCACATCTCTGGAGCCATAAATGCTCTTGAGAAAACAGGTTTGGAAACAGGAATACACTTACACTTGCACTTGCACAAGACATGGTAAAGCTCTTGCCTTTAGGATGCAGATCACTTCTCTGAACTTGTGTTGTTATATCTTACTTACCTACTTACTTACTTACGTTTTGTACAAATTTGCAAATTAAGTGAACAAATGACAGTTAATATTGAGAGTGGATCACTGTTTTTAGCTCGTCCTTAGCAAAGACAGTACAAATAAGTTAATACTGACACCTTGTGGCTGTGCTAGGTTAAAACAACCTAATGTTTCACAATGTCTGATAATACAAAATTATAATGGCTATTGGAATGTTATGTTTTTCTTAATTTATTTTGTTAAAATAATAACATTTTTGTGCTGTTGTTTGAGAAATGCACTACCAGTAAATATTCACTGTCCAAAAAACAAGCATTTCCAAAATAGTAACTTAGCAAGATAAGACAAAAACTTTATTTACTTTTAATGTAATGAGATAAATGGAGATACATCTTAGCGATTAAATGTTTGTATCCAGAGAAACAAGAGCTACAGTGCATTTATTTAATTTTTTATTCATCTAAACTGCAAAATGTTGTTCATGTACATCTGACTGACAAACAAGGATTTTAGAAATCTCTGTGACTGATGGATTTCTCTTAACATTTCCCCTCTTTGGTATCCATGTACAGAGGAGTTTAAGAAGAAGAAGGCCAGCTTGCAGGAGCAGATGGACAACCTTAAAAAGGAAGTGGAGCAACACAGCAAAGTGTGTGACTACATCAAAAAGGACTCCGCCGAGGGGAGGTGAGTTGAGTGCTAGAGGAGGCGTTTTAATATTGACCTCTATGTGAGTGCATGGCTTATGTTTAAGAACTTATTGGTTCAGTGTGTTTGAAGATTGTTTGGTTAAGGAGATGCGTCAGTGCTGCTGTTCATAAAAACTACTTAATTCAAATACTTTTTTGAAGGTTGACATCTTAGATTTAAATGACATGATTCAGATCTCCAACTGAGCTGTTATTCCCGAGGATAGAAGAGGTGTTAGTGGGCTATTATAGATGCCAGGGTGAATCTTACACACTTTACTGCATGCTGGATGTAAAAACTGTTGCCTGGCCCAAAAAGAAAAGATAAAGTTGCCGAGGGCAGTTAGTTTCAGACCAGTGATGTGCACTTTTTAGATGTAAAGCACCTCATGGTCAAGTGAAACTCACTTGGTGCGTTTTTGAATATGCATGAGGATGTGATATTTATGTGAAATAAGGAGGAAAATGAGTGGTTTGAAACAGTCTTTAAGCTTGTGAATGTTCTTCTTCACTAACAGGAAACTGTGCGGCATGGAGGCTCTTCCAAAACAAAATGTTACTAAGGAGGCCAAAAAAGAAGAGCCGCCTAAATAAGCCTCAAACACAACGGAAAAGGCTGGAGCTACAAAGGCACATTAATGAAGCTAAAGCTATGAAAGCAGAGGAGTTAATACACTAACCAAATCAACGGAAAAAACAAGGATTTACACTTTACATCACAACACACACATACACATTTATATGCTCTCCTGTAGGTGTGTTTCCTTGTTCCTGGTCTTTTGGTTTATGCATCAAAGCAATGTTTTGACAAGTTTATGAATTCGGGGTCTTTTATCTTCTCTTTCCGTTGATGCTAAAACAGAGGATACTATTTTCTGGTATGCAAGCTAAAACTGTTGTTTTTCTGCCCCCTCCCCCACCCCCACCTTCCAATTGCCACTTCCCCTCAGTGCAGATTTTTTGGTTTGGTGAGGCATTTAGGCTGTATTGGCAGTTTGTCCTGTTAAGGTAAAGGCGGCAGTAAGGTAGCATCTAACTTAACTGTTCGATTAATTGTTGCAGTTGTTGACCATGTTGTTAACTGTTGAACAGAGTACAATATAGTTTGTCTGAAACATAGCTGCCAACAGGTAATCTGTTTACTACAGATTCTTCAATTATCTGTGAGGTTCTGTATGCCTTTCATCATTCCTGCTACAATCTAATTGGCCAGTATTTTCATGTGTGTTACTAGATGCTATAGATTGGCTGATTTTACACATCTGAGGAATACGGTGTGGTTGGTCTAACTGAATCTGTATGAATTTAGGAAGTTGGTTTATTACTTAATGTTCTATTGGTCACTCTACAAACTAAAGTGTTTTTCCAAGAAGCAGTGTGGTATGATGTGGTAATGATTACAATCCTGTGATCATGCCTGTTGTCATCATTTCAACTGCAAAGTGAACTGTTCCATAGCTCAGTGCCTTTGCTGAGGGATTAAGCACAATTATGCACAGTGAGAACACATGGGTGGAGCTAGAAGTAGTGCAGACCGTACATATACATACATACATCTATCTGCTTATCCTTCTGGGTCGCAGTGGGGTGCTGGAGACTATCCTAGCTGTCATTGGGCAGAAGGCAGGATACACCCTGGACAGGTCGCCAGTCCGTTGCAGGGCAGACGGACAGACATACACATTCACACACTCAGTCACACCTAGGGGCAATTTAGCATGTCCAGTTAGCTTAACTGCATGTTTTCGGACTGTGGGAGGAAACCGGAGTACCCAGAGGAAACCCACACAGACACAGGGAGAACATGCAAATTCCACACAGAAACGACCCTGGTCGCCCGGCCGGGAATCGAACCCAGGCCATTCTCGCTGTGAGGCAACAACGCTACCCACTGCGCCACTGTGTGCAGACCATTGTTTGGTCAAATGGAGTCATCACAGTGTCATCACTCTAGTCAGACAAATAATAATGGATCAGTGAATCAACCACGTACTGTGCAAAAGTTTTGGGCACTTAAGCACAATATTTTAAACCATTTAATCTGGATAATAAGTCTGTTTTTGCTTGCAAAATCATTGTATATCCATGTAATAAATGCAAATACAGTAAAAAATTTTTTTTTAAAGGATTTGATATCTTGGGAGCTAGTTTGAAGCACACAGTTTGGTTTCAGATTTCTCCTCGTCATGTCCAGTCATCACATGAGTTTGTGATATTCCGTCACCAGCACACTTAATTTAAGGTAATGAAGTATTGATTAGGCAACCCAGGTATTGGATGACAGCTGCAAATAATACTAGGCTGCCGTGAGGAGAGGTTTGGTAATGGTTAAACAAAAACATTAACATGCATAAACACACTACTTGTTGTATTAATATTGTTTGTATTTATTGTAATATTAGTGTTTTTCTACTGCCCAGATAAACAGCTTTTTAAATCAAATTATTTTCAGGTGCCAAAAACTGTTGCACAGTATTGTGTGTATGGAATCGCTCTGTGTCTCCATGCACAAAACTAAACGCAGAAGGTTGATGTTGTTGCTGACATTATTTGTGTTTATTGTTAACACTAGCATTACCGTGTCTATCTTCACAATTCTGTTGTGTGATAGAAAGCAGAAACAGGTACTTGACTAGAATAACAACAGTTCTATATTTGGATTAGTAACCGTACTGAGCTGTACCTCACTGCTCACTGGAAAAACGCTTACATTTTTCTAACGCCATGGCATAAACTGTTTTACTATTTTACTAGTATCCTGATTCACTCTAAAGGCCTCAGTGCATTTACCCACCAACCACCAACCTTGTAATGTTGGCAGTTGTTTTAGAATATCTGGGGAAACATTATAAACCAAATGAGCTTGTGTGAATGGAGCAGATTCTAGAACAGTGAGAATGGGTTAGAACATTCTAGAATAGTGTACACTGGGGAGAAGATTCTAGAGTCTCACACAGATATGGCACACCAAAAAAATGTTCGGTTTGTTGGGTGAGTCTGCTTTGGCTTTAATAAGAATTGCAGAATACAAAGAACTTTGGGCCGAACTCTTCATGGTGAGTGTTGTGCTCTAGGCTGCACTGACATGACAGTTTGAGGCTCATGGAACCTTTTTGCTCTCCATACTAGCACCATCTGGAAAACATGCCTCATCAGCTATGTCCTACAATCGATCATTTTAAGAAATACGGGTATATTTTGTGTATGCAAACACTCCAGCACTGTGAATTTCCGGTGTGTGGGACTAATAAAGGATTATCTTATTTTAGCTTATCCAGGGTGATGTATGCAAAATGTGTTGCACTTGATGTGCAAAAAAAAAAAAGCTTTGTATTTTTACTGAAGTCTTTGCAAAACTTTAATGTGTTTTGGTAACTGGAAGGAGCAAGATACAATTTTATTTTAATTAAAAAGTCATAATAAAGCAATAATCTAAAAAAAAATATTTAAGCATGTTTAGTTTGCATGGCCAAATTGTCTCATCTCTTTTTCTTTTTTCTTGTTTGTTTGACCTGTTAATGCATTCTTGCTTCATTTAGGAGAGACAAAAAGAACAAATGAGAGTAGAGAGAGGGAACAAACATTCCACATTCTTTTGTTCTCTCTCTCTCTCTCTCTCTCTCTCTTGCTCTCTAATTAGTCATATATTAAGAAGTCTCTTTCTGTTTTAGTGGTTATGATCAGCGAGTGTTAATGTGGACGGCTGTTAAATGACCACTCCTGTCCTGTAGTGGTTATGTATTGTGTAACAGTATGTACATGCGTGAGTGCATGTTCAGTTGTGTGTTTGTGTGTGAGATTGTCTTTGTGTCTTACTCGTGTTCTCCCATAGTTACCTTAACTGTGTGTGTATATGTGTGTGATGACCATCCCTCAGGCTCCGTTGCTCTGTGGTACACGCTCATGCGTATATGCTAGTTTGTATCGACCATTCCAAACACTCTGACCCTCTCTCTGTCACCCCTCATCATCCTCAGCCCATTAGCTCAGTGCAGTCGTGACCGTACTGCTACAGTCTGAGGCCTTAGTGAAAAACAGAGTGAGTTAAGACCAACAGTTTGTTGTTAACGGTGTAAACTCTTCTATGTGTCTTTGATGATCTGCAACTTGAAATGATGCCAGTGTATTAAATGTTTGAAGGTTTTTGTGTACATGGCGCTCTATGTTTTCTATCTGTATTGTGTATATGTGAAAAGTGTAGTTCACAATAATAATATGGTAAAATGAGAGTCAACAGTGGTTGAAAATTTGCTGAGGCTAAAATGAAATCTTAGGGTGAAATATCTGACTGGTGTTCTTTACATTACGTTTTATCAAAGTCTGTTAAAATAAGGTGCTGTTTTCTTGTTCACTTTTAAATTGTCACTGAATAAAATGTCCAATTCATTTTTACTTTTGGGATATTTTGAGGAATTTTAAGGAATAAGTGTGTTAAATTCCAGATGTGAAATCACAGATAAAACATTTCAGTCAAGTTCTCAAACAATGGATTGTAACCAGCAGTTTTCTAAAAGTTTTCTCAACTGTGAGTGAAGTTCTTAAAGAAAAAGTTTGGCACACAATTTTACACTTACCCCACAATATAATTGATTATCAAGAGATGTTTTGGGGCCAAAGTTTTCCATTTCCCAATACATCTCTCAATCCATCCTAACTGCGTCTTCATTAAGGTCATTCAGACCTGTCAATGTGGCTTAGGGCACTATATGAATTTTTTGAATTTTCACTATATGAAAAAAAAATGAAAAAAACATTTACATTTAATTAAATGCAGGGGCAGCCACAAGTGTTGTGTCAATTCCATTATCTATATGATGACGTTTTGTTCATTTTTATAGCTTGCAACAAGTGAAAATCTTAGACTATTTTGATGAGTGTGCAACCTTAATAAAGACCTGGATATGTTTTGAAAAGGAGAACAGATGTTGTGGGGTTGTCTTTATGGGAAAAATGGGTAAATGCTGACTTCTGGTGTTTGTAGGCAATGTTAATCTTATAGCTCCAGCACTAAACTAAAAAAGCAAGATTTAGACACCAAAGATGTGGATCTGGAGTAAGAGGAGAACCAAGTAAATTTTTTGCTTAATAAGATCTAAACTTTGAAGACCATATTAGAAGTTTTCTAAATGTATTCCTTTATCTCTACTGAATATTTATTTGCTTCAAGTTCACATTAAACTAACTAAATCCTTCTGTTGCTTGCATGTGAAATCAGCATGGAGTGTCCATGTGTTTGCTATTGCCCTTCCTCTCCCTCCTCTGTCCCCTGTCCCACTCTACCAATGACACTGCTGCCCCCAGGCCTGCAATTAGGGCATACAATTAGTGGCTCTCTCTCTTCCGCCCCAGCTCACTCAGAAGGTCACTGTGTCCGGCAGGGCTCTGCATAGCAGACAAAGCAGTTAGACAGAAGCATGGATAGAGGGAGGGAAGAGGCAGACTTCTACCTAACACCTTCACTGAAAGTCATTGATGACCAGATGCAGTCCTCCATAAATTGGTTTGCTTTATAATTTGATTTATGTGACTTTGAGAGTGTTTAAACAGAATAGCAGCTGAAATAGAAGATACAGTATGAAACATGATCTTTTTGACAAAAATACAGCTTCTATTTGTAAAAGATTTCTTTTTGTTTCCTGAGGTTAAGGCTGTGTTGTGTAGCACAACAGTATGTATAGTCATTTTCATGT